CTGAGTAACGAAGGCATAGCATGCAAAAAGTGCAGATTACTAAGAAATTTTAAGTAAGTTTAACAAATTATTGGACATTAAGTAAAGTTAACAAAAAAATCTTAGTAAGAACAATATTGGATTTTACAGTGTATTAACTAGTGATTTTTATTTTTCATTACTCTATGCCCTATATACAAGCGTTATAAGCTAAACAGTTTTTAGAGATAAAACTGTTTACATTCGATTATCATGAAAACAATCTCATAGAACAGTTGACAAGGTACCAATAATCTTAGGCCAAAGGTTCATTTTGTGCCGGAGTTCTCCTTTTAACGATGCTTGCCTTTTCAATGCTTTGTCTGAGGTAAGAGGTAACAAATAAGAGCCATGCCGCAGGTATTTACTGTGCTAGACATGTCCTGATAATGCACTTTATAGCCCGATCATCAACCGGAAGGGCTCTCGAAATGGCTGACCCCTCTGGCTTTAGAACCTTCTTCTCTCTATTATCCGAGCTCTAGATCCCTGTATGCACCGTGCCCTGGGTGAGTCTGATGTAAGTAGGCAGAGTACACCACCCCCATATCTTCACAAGTCACTGAACGCTGCAAACTAATCAATCCTGACACCAGAATAAGAGGCTGGGCGGCTGCCTGTAGGAGGACTCACTAATGGCAGCACACACACACACACATATGGGGGTTAAATCAGAAACCAAGTTCAAATCTCTGGTACAGCTTCAACAGAACAAGTGGAGGTACATTCAGGGCCAGTTCATGCACATGCTGTGGAGGAAACACCGGCGATCAATGTACATCTAAAGGTAAGCTTCATGCAGTTGCAGGTGATTCCTAAATGGAAGGGATAAGAGTTTGCTCTAAGTAATGTGTCTTTATTTTAAGTTCTGCTATCAATTGTTATAAAATATTTTGATGTTGGTTCATCAGTCATGCAAAGCATTAGAGCTTATTTTAATATTAAGATACTATTACCTGTCTTTAAATAGGTTATTTTTCAAAAAAAAGATTATTCAAACCTACCAGTATGTAAACGACTTTGTTGTTCGCTTCGGGTGCATTATAAACTGTAAACTAGCTGAGCTTTTTCTTCTTTAAATGATGGATTAGTCATTGTTTTGATTGTAATTAACAATAAGTTCATATTACACCTCATTTTGTGACATGCGTGACGATTGTTGACGAAATATTGCCTGGATTTCCAGTGCACACTTTAACTTGATGGATGAAATAAAGCTTTCCAGAAAGGAGCTCTTAGTTCAACATCAGGCTTTTCTGAGTTCCTCAGCCATGTTGGAATTCATGCTCTCAGGCAACATATACCTTCTTATATAGTGAGCATGCCCAAGCTTTTGTCCTTTTATCAAGATGTCACAACATTCGGTTCAAAAACCACAAAAGTGCCCTTTAGGGCTGGAAACCCAATAATAAGCATGAGACCGAGGCCTTTTATGGGATCCATTATTTTGAAACTATTTTGTCTCTTTGGCCTCAATATGGTCCTGACTTTACCCAATCCTAGAGCGAGTTTGGCCCAAATGAATCATTCTATTTTAAGCTTTCTGTTGTCAGCTGAAATGACATTGTAAAACAGAACTTAAAAAATGCACTGACCTTGTTATAACTATATTTTATTTAAAAAAATAAAATTGTTGGGCATTTCAGGTCATGTTCTCAAAAGCGGAAGTAAACATTCTCACATTCAGCCACAATCTCTGTGATCATCTCCTAAAGCTACTTGCGATTTGGTCATTTAGACTGATATTCTGAATATCAACAATACTGTCATATGTTTAGACTGCCTAACATCATGAGATATTGTGTTAACAAGACTGTTGCAATAATCTAAATAAAAATCTGAAAGTTTGAGACGGCTTAGATAACGTTAAAGGATTAGCCAAACATGAAAATTTTGTCTTCATTTACTCACCTCATATTGTTCCAGACCTTCATCCATTTCTTTCTTCTGCTGACCACTAAAGATTGAAGAAAGATGAAAACCAAACCGTTTCGGTTCCCATTGACTTCCTTGCGTTGTTTTTATTTTGTCCAAAATTCTTCAAAATATATTCTTTTGTTCTCCAAAGAAGAAAGAAAGTCATACAGGTTTGGAACAACATAAAGATAAGTAAATGATGATGATTTTATGGGTGGACTTTCACTTTAAGACATTAAATCAAAATATAGCTACACACTGCACAAATTATAGTGCTACCAATGTCTCAAGAAATTGGACTAATGTTTTTAAAATGATTGGACTACTCGACAGAATTTAGTGGACATTTAAGAAAATTAAATTTATATAAATGTATTAAGAAAATGTATGCTTAGAACAAAGCACTTTTGCATTTTACTGCAATGTGGTGATCAGCAGAACAGGAAATGAAGCAAAACACCAGTGATGGCTTATCTTAAAAACAGACCAATGCTTCATAAATATTCTAAAAAAAACTAGTTAAAAAGAAAAAAAAGCATGAGCATAAACAATTCTCCCATGAATAATTTATTAGCCTAACAATGTAGGCTTTTTATATGAAAATAAAGTTAGGTACAGTCATGGTGCATTTTGACTAGTCTAACTTTAAAAACATGGATAACCCAAAAAAAAATGTATTTATAAAAGCACATAATTTTCCATTTCTAACTCATTACTTTCCATCTCTCGTAGTATACTGATCTAAATATAAAAGTGATGGGTGGGGTGAGGTGACAGGAAGCATTATTTTAAGGTTCAGCACAAATTCATGTGATTTTAACTTTACATCATTTCTGAAAGGAGTAGTTCCCTGTTTTGAGAAATGTCACCTTCTAAATGTCCAGTACTAAGAGAAAAAAAAGATTACCTCACACTTGGATTGAAATGAAAACCCATATGAAAAAAAATAAATGTAACAAGTTTCAGTGACCTGATTCTTAAGTCATAGAAAGTTAGGAGGGAGTACAGTAGGTCCATTTATGGCAGAGCACTGAGCCTTCTCTGGTCCCTCCTCTTGTTTTCATAGCACTGTTCTGTTACATTTCATTAGACTGACTCATAAGCTACAGTTCTGACTGGTTGGGAACGGCCTGGACTATATTTGGATTCAGAGGCAGCCCTCTTTATTTTTCATTAGAAGAACTGCATAAACTTAACACCCTTATTTCCGAAGCACGCTGTGCCTTTGGGATGCGCTGATACTGCTTCTGAAAGATCCAATCAGAGGCCAGAACGTCAGACAGAAGGATGATGGCAGAGAGAGATCATTTTTGAGTCTGCCTTCTTTGGATCCTTAAAGTTGGGTGTGAATAACCACAGTAACTTGAGTCAAAACCTCAAGCTTGTGAGACCTGGTTTTACATCATCAAGTACAACTCAACCCCAGTCTGGTAGACAGCGTATTTAAACTTGTTAAAGATTTAGTTCTCACAAAAAAACTGTCAGTAATTAGTCGCCCTCATGTTTTTCATGTTTTCATGTTTTTTTGATGAAATCTGAGAGCTGGATCACTCCTTCATAGGCTGAAAGATAATTGCATTTTCCAACCCAGAAAAGTTCGTAAAGAAAGACATTGTTAAAATAGTCAGAGTGACTACAGTGGCTCAACTTTAACCTTAAGTTTATCAAGCGACGAGAATACTTTTTGTGCGCAAACCCCCAACGACTTTATTCAACTATTCTTTTTCTTCCGTGTGGGCCTCTGAGTTCACGAGAGTGTCACAACGCAATGGGGTTGGAACAACATGAGGGTGAGTAATTACCGACATCATTTTCATTTTGGGGTGAGCTAACCTTTTAAATGAGGCTAGACTTCTCTTGGTTTTATTAAAGTTCAGCAAAGCAGCAGCAGTTCTAATTGTGAAAGTAGAGTTTGTAAATGAACATCAGCAGGGTTGGAGATCTTCCTGTATCACTTGACTGAATAAGAGAAGTTCAAGTCTTGAACGTGCCCAAAATAAACGCTCAGTTCTGCATTTCCACCCATCTTGATAGATTAAAGCCCACAGTATAGTGCTGCTTAATTTTAGTCAAAGTATAGAATAATATCTGCTAAATTAATATTATTACCTTAATTGGTAACACTACTTGAAGGGTTGTGCATGTGACATGACACCTTCATAATCATGACATGACACATCATGAATATGAAGTAGGTTTTATGCATATTTATGACAACAGTGCCATGTGCTCATTTATGACATTTTAATGCAAACATGACATTTTTTTAGATGTTTTTATTATAACAAGTTGACACAAACCAATGCATCATAACATGTCATTGTCTTTGTCATGACAACTTGACATTACTAAGACAACACAACCTGTCAAACATGAGATTCATAGCAGATTCATTATCAAACTAAAGAAACTACTTCGATTTATGGGTTAACATTACATTAAAATGTCAGGTGGTGGGTTTTGATATTGACTGTTATGAGGCCATTAAAACATTTTAATGAAAAATTCAATTTGCAACACTGTAGTTAAGGTCAAGAAAAATATTCATGACACAGTTATAATGGCCTCATGACAGCCAATGTCAAAACCAACCACGTGACAGTTTAATGTTATGGTAACCCATAAAGCTAAGTGCTTTCTTAAGTTTGATAATTAATCTGCTATGTCATATTTATGACAATTTATGTTGTCTTGGTAATGTCAAATTGTCATAACCAAGACACTGACAGGTTATGATGTGTTGGTTTATGTCAAGATGTACATAACAAAGACATCTCAAACAATGTCATATTTGCATTAAAAATGTCATGACATTAAATGACAGTTGTCCTAAACATGCATAAAACCTCCTTCAAATTCACGACACCCTCACGCAATGTGAAGTATTAATTTAGATTTAAAACAATTTCTTACATGACAAGACTATTCTCTAGTTCCTCTGTGCACTTTCAAAATGCTACCATTACATGCTGAACGCTTTTTCTGTGGGCACTATGTAAACACAGTGACACATTTTCCCCACCCTTCATGACATCACAGGGAAGTTGAGTTTATAAAGTAACCACAAGAATGCAGTGTGTGTCAGGCGAAAGAGTTGCGAGCAGACAGAGGGCTCTTTCTTAAAGCGTACGGCCTAGAGTGACTCAACTCCTCCTCTCGCACGCAGGTACAGCTGTGGATATGTGCCTTCCAGTCAGAGCAGCAGATTGTGTGGCTGACAGCAGGGTTATGTGATGCCCGCAGAGACGTCTGGACTGACCTCTGATCAGAGCCGGTAAGGTTTAATGCTTCTGGGCTGAGAAATGATGGATTACTGTCCTGATGAGCATCTGTTTGTCACATGTGGCATAGCTGAGAACAGCTAACTCAATTCAGGCCATATGCCCTTTTAAATTCTGAGTTCCTCCCGTGTCGTGACTGACATTCTGTGTAACGGAGAAGCTTGTGGACATGCTGAGAAATATGCTGTTAATATTCTGTTTTGATATATAGCAAGCACATGTGCATTCTGCTTAGCTTTCTCTGGGTTTCTGACTGATATATTCCTTAAATAACTTGACCTTTTTCAGATTAGTCCTGGCAAAAATGTGGTAAAACTCACTCTGTTCATTCTGTTCGGGATCGTACACTCTACTTTAAAGTCTGGAAAAATATTACTGTTTGGCAACACCAAAGTAGGAATGTAGGAGATAAAAGTCATTCATGAACGTAAACTGGGTACCGTAAATGAAGGGCAGGTGGAGGCCAACTGTCCTGTTTTCCCAGGACATGTCCTGTTTTCATATAACAATATAACAATTTTCTATCCATACAGAGGAGGCATAAATGTATTGAAATTAATAAGGTATCTTTGAGTAAACTCCAAGTGTCATTTGAGTTGGCCCATGTGTTTGCTGGGCCGAGTGTCCTGGTTTTTTGGTAATCAAAATATGGTCACCCTACTTATACGGGCTCTTTAAAAGTCCTCTGCTTTTGTAAATATTTCCATCACAGGACTAGCAGCAGGCAAGTGTTTCATTATAAGACAGGCGCTTTAAATTTAGTTTAATACAGAGCTTCAAACAGATGAAACTAAGCAATTGTGAGTGAAGCTTTCTCAGCCATGTTCGCCCTCTTTCTCTCAAACACATTTTGCGCCCTGAGGGCCTGTGCTGTATTTAGACAGTGTCCTCTCTTGTGGAAGGTTAATCATGTCCCTGTATTTGTCTTTTCGAAATGTTATAAATCTGGTTGTGAGTCTCAGAAAAAAATGCCTTTACTATGGGTGAATCTAACAACCTCCTCACGAAATTCGGAGGAATTCGACTTGATGTGCACAACGGCATGTCTTTGCATGTAACTGATGTTGTCTGTGAAATTCTGAACTCCATCCTGGCTTTGTGTGAAGCTGAGAGAGTCTTCCTGTTTAACATTCCTCTGCAGATCTTAGAATTATTTAAAGTGATTGTTCTTCTTCAGAAGGATTGGAGTAAGAACGGAGAGCTGAATGCTCTTGAAGTCTTACGCAAGTCTACGACTGAATCTTCAAAATGGAAAACGAGATATGATGCCTTTTAGCGTTATGCTACATTGAGATTTTAATTGTTTTATTGTCTTTATTTGAAGAGGGAGTTGCTTCCTCTAACATAGGTGTTTTTCACAAGATTCTGCTGCACATATTTCCTGTTGTGAAACTGTCTGCAGGAAGCAGGGCACACACATTGCACACATGCTGAGGCTTCATTAAGTTTGTGCAACACAACATTTAGAAACAGATTGTTTCTTTGTTTGTTTGGTTCCACAGTGAGTTTGTGAAAGAAAGTTAATAATATGTAAATCTCACTTTTACAGGTACACTAAGCAGTTTTTTAATGATGGCAAGACACCACAGGCAAAATCCTTTTTGTTAATGCATTGTTCAATTTTCATGGTTTTTTTGTGTGATATTTTGCTCTTAAAAAATGCTTACTTTCAGATAGTGGAAAGAAAACATCTAAAATACACATTTAAGGGTAACTTTTATTCCAGATGTGTACAATACATAAATGTACAATACTCAAAATTAGTTGTTTTTTTTACTAGTGCAATGCCCATGCAAAATGACACAATAAACATGGAAAATCCAAACAACATCAAACTTGGCACTGCACTTACTCATGCCCGTAGAAAGACACTTGTCAAGTTTGAAATCCATATGCAAGATATGCAATTAACAGACAGACAGACATACACACACACACACACACAGACACATTTTGGTGATGGGCGTTTCCTTTGTTTGGCCAGTTTGGCTTTTTGTGTGAGTTTGGGTTTTTGTTTAGAAAAAAAATGTAATTTGTTGCCAAGAAAGAAATACACCAAGATGATCATGTTTTCATCCTCATAAACTAGAATAAATCCTTAATCTTATTTTGTGTGATTTTTCTTTTCTATTGATATTTTACCAGCAAAACTTTTCTTGCAGTTGATCAGACATTCTGAATTTTAAAGTAGTTTATTGGGGAAAAAAGTATTTTGATACACACACAGACATCAGGTTAGACATTCTGAATTTTGATTTTTAAATACATTGTGGGATTTTTTTTGACACATGCACAGACATAAAGAATCAGCATATGAATCTCAACAATGGTGACATGTTTCCTGCCATGTTTCATTCAATGCATGCTGGGAGCCATGATTTTAATACTAAAATGGTGGTGCATTGTGGCATGAAACATGTCACCATTGTTGAGATTCATATGATGATTCTTGATGTCTGTGCATGTGTCTAAAACAAATTCCCAAAATGTATTTAAAAATCAAAACGCAGAATGTCTAATCTGTTGCATAAAGTTATGTGTTTTGCTATAGTATACACTGTTACAAAGACCACAGAATCACTTAAATGCCAAACTGACCAACTCAAGGAAACGCTCACCACCAAAATGGTGACCAAACATAAAAATAAAAAAGTTACATTTTAACCTGTTTTTTTTTCTTAATAAGAACTTCTGTTTCAAATAGACACAATTTTTTTAATTGGTTCAACTACAAAAGATTTGTCTACTGAATAGTTGCATCTCTCCAGAAAACAAATAATGTCAAGTTGACTAAACTAAACATTTATATATGTGTTTGTGTGTGTGTGTGTGTGTGTGTGTCACAGACAACATGTTTTCAGTTCGTATAACTGTTATTTACAAAATTTGAGTCAACAAGAAAAAGCTAGTGGAAATTAGTACCAAGAATTTTTTTATGTTGTCGTACGAGATTTTAACAGTGTGGATTTTTGCTGAACCAACACAACAAAATCAGTAATTTCATATTTTTTCAAGTTTTTTTTTTCAAAAGTCCATGTCTTTAGGAATGAAATGTTAAATAAATCAGGTGAACAATATATTAACAAACTCCTCTGTAAAAACTTTTAGAATGTAGCCAGGAATAAACCTGTAAAGTTTGGGAATGTAAGTACTGAAGTAGTGGACATACATTTCCAGAAAACAATGAGAATTTAAAAAAAACTAGAATTTTGACCCTGCCTTTATCCAATGTTCAGATTTGTGTTCTGCAAATGTAAGTAATTTTGTGCATATTTCATTAGATAATGACTCAAACTCACAAAGTCACATGATTTCAGCGAAGGAGGCTGTGTTACATGATATTATCTAACCATGGTTTTGAAACATTTAAAAATTCTCATGGTTCACTGCTGGGGGATGGTGGGGGAGCCAATCACGAGTGTCCAATAGCTTTAACTGATGTTGGGTTAGTTAAATAGGTTCATTTTTAATGAATTTTCATAATTATCCATGTATAAATAGAGAACATTGAATTGCTCCCAATTGACCTATTGCCATGTCTTGCCTATAATTACACAAAACAAGCATCAAACTTTAAGACAACTGTTACAGAATATTCATATTTACTGGTATTTAATGATTTTATTACCTTTAATTTGACATGCAAGTAGTCAATGATCATTATAATAATCATTACTAACAATTATTGTAATAGCTTACATCTAAATACTGTATGGAGAGCTTTTCATTTTTCAGGAAAACTTGAATCCACATCAATAGGTCTAAATAGTGTACTAACCGTGAGACGAGTATCAACTTAAACTTGCACTCTAAAAAATGCTGGGTTGTTTTAACCAAATTTTGGGTAAAATATGGACAAACCCAGCCATTGGGTTACATTTTTAAATGACATTTTAACCCAATGGCTGGGTTTGTCCATATTTTACCCAAAACTCGATTAAAACAACCCAGCATTTTTAGAGTGTACCTGTAATACACCAGTTAATCTTATAGTACAAATTTACTTCATTATTAATATTATGTGCATGACATTATGTTGATATTCTGTTTGTTTTCCATGTCAGTTAACTGTCATGTGGTGGTTTTTGGTTTTCCTACCATCATTGTGGTATATTGACGTCAGTGTATAGTTCTTCAGGCCATTGAAATAATGCTTTATCTCTCATTGTTTCTTACTTACTTTCTTATATATTTGTTTGTTTGTTTTAGTATACATTGATAATATAAAAATAATATACATTTTAAAATAATAAAATAAAAATTATTCCAAATCAACTTTCTAAGCAACATTGAATTACCTATCGATCTAACTCTACAATCTACAATCTTAAGCTCATATCAAGTTGATTTATTTTCAAGCAGTGCCCATATTTGTCAATTGTCATTAAAAAAATAAATAAAAAGCGCATAAAAATATGTATTATAGCCCAGTCAGAAGCTTATACAGTTGGGTTCTTAGACCTGTTTTGACCCGTGTAGCTGTGCACTGACTCTGTCCTGCAACATTGATGAGAGTCAGAATACACAGGAGACATGGAATCACTGGATGATCCACAGCTGACTTAACTTCTGCTCTCTCTCTCTCTCTCTCTCTCTCTCTCTTCCTCACTATTTATTGCTCTGTTTCTCTCTCTCTTCAGAAATGCCCCAATTCCATCACATCTGTGAGAGTCAAGGCAGAAAAGACTAAAATAGAGTTGGTGTCTCCAGAGGGACTGATGCTGAGAGGAATCCACCCAGTATAAACACGACCCACGATCTCCGCAGTCCTCCCAGCCACAAGATATGAATCGTCAAAAGTCACAGAGAAACATTTCATAAGCAATCCTTTGTTGTTAGACCTCAAAGGCAAGGCGTTGTTTGAGATGAATGCTGAGGTTTGGAATTAAAGCAATAACTGAGTGCATCAAGGATTTTGAAAAAGTCCATCCGTCATTTATTAAAACGGGCTTGTGTTATATTTCCTCAGGATGGGACTGACATCAGAACTTTTAACAGGCCTAAACTGAACTGAAGCACAGTGACAGAACTGGCTCAAGTGGACAGTTTCTTGATCATCCCATGCTAATTACTGGTTTAATCGGATCTAGTGGCTTTACATCTCAGATCACATTGGATTTGATCTCTACAGGGATTTGAAGAACTCTTGCTGAACCATGACGGAGGCAATCCTGCAGTTTTTCAATAATATGTGGAGTGTCGCGTCATCCAAGCATGACCAGGGCATCTACAACACGGTTTGCCTGGTAGTGCTTCTGACTCTGCCACTGGTTGTGCTCTTCACATCTGTGCTGGTGTGCTGTCATTGTTGCTGCTGTCGTCGGTGTTGTTGCGGCAAAGGCGAGACCTCAGTCACAAATGTGAAGTCCGAAAAGAAGAAGAAAAAGAAAAACGGCGGCCAGAACAGTGAGGACTTGTGGATCTCAGTCAAAACAGATCCCATGAGTAGTGACAGACTTGCACTCACTATGGTGTAAAAAGCCACGTTGAACAATTTTATATTTATTTATCTTTTTATGGTACATGTAAAGGTACAAAAGTGTTGCAGCAGTGTTTTCTAAACATTTACCCGAATGTAAAAAAAAAAAAGAAGAAGGAGAGAGAATTTCAAGAGACTTTTTGTATAGAAGTGAAATTTGGGAGTGAATGAATGTGCAAGAATATGCTTTATGATGTGTGTGTGGTCCTGAAAGGCTTTCCCAAAACCCACATTGTAGGTGAAAAAAAGCATATCTGTCATTATACAACAGTTAGTCCAGGGCCTTGTTTTGCTGAGCTGTGTTTTTGCATTTGACTGCACTGCTTTTGTATTGATTTTTTTTTTTTTTTTTTTTTATAAATATGCTCTAGACGGACATGTTTGATTTTTGTGCTCATGCCCTTCTCAAGTCTCGAGCATAACATGGCTTTCTTAAAATGTGCCACTTAATTAAAAATAGTTTAACATTTTTTTAACGCATCTCTAGACCTTGCATTTTTTAATTTCACTGCCATGCGTTTTAAAACCAAAAATGTTTTCAGTGTGAATAGCCCTAATAGACTGTCCAAAAGCACCAGGATTGTTATCACTCCCCTTATCTGTGTTTGTGCGTTTCGGTGAGGATTTTCAGTGATTCTTTCGCATTTTACATTGTTAGCAAGTGCAACAGTTGATTCTGGTTTGGAATCATTTGAAATGTGTATATTTGTGTCGAAATACACGATGGAACACAGTATTGTAATATTGTGTCTAAAATGAAGTTCTATCATGACAGCTCTCAGGATATTTTTTGTTAATTTTAATTTATTTGGTCTTGGCAGAATAGATCTGCTGCGCTGCTGCTGCTGTTATTGCTGTTGTTGTAAATTATTGCCTGCACAGAAACAGGAACTGTGCTGTGAGTATGTAAGACACACTGCTGCACAAATAGTATTCAATTACCCATGGCAGATCGATACTGGTGGAGCTGGGGAGGTGGAGGGTTTTAGTGAATAGTGAATGGTAACCAACCGTTTAGATTTTGAGCATGGCTCAATGGCCATGGCCAATGGCTGCTGACATTAACCAATCAGCTTGTGCCAAGAAGTTAGCGCAGTAAATATCATCAGCTTGTGTTAATGACCAATCAGCCTGCACCATCAAGAGTTCTTGTTTATTCAACTGCTGTACAAAAGAAACATCACACTCGCAGTCGCTATCGATCGGAACAACTGCAATAGCCAATTGCTTGATTAACATTTCTAATAGAGCCAGGTGCCAGAAATATGTAAGAATTCCAAAGAGCTCTTCACAATTACAAACGCTTCTAAAACCTGAACTTGAACCAAAACATTTCCCAAAGAAACGTCAAAGACAAGGGATGCACTTAGTGGGTCACAACCACTTGTCCTTCACTCGAAGGATGCAATGCATTTAAAATTACTTGCTTGAAATGGCTTCCGAAATTGATACTTTCCCACAAAACAATTTCCCTATAAATATAACCTGCCTTTCTTACTGTCGACTGACTAAACCATAATTTAAATAAAAGTGTGTGTGTGGGGGGGGGGGGGGTATGTTGGCTCTGTGATGCATGAATTTACTAGACTAGAGTATAGATCAACAGCTCAAAGACACTTGTCTTATAATCTCCCCCTAAACACATCTATTCACAAAAGAGTGAAAATGATTGTACTGATCTCAAAACTAAGACTGTTGGATACAGCATTATCATCACAGTGTGTAATTGGGCTTGCTGATAAACAAACTTTGATCTTCTTGCACTATTCAGATGTAGGGATGTTTGCAGTGCCATAATTAGATGTTTATGTTGTTCCTTCACACATTCTGATTATGCATGTCAGAAAGTCATGCATTAACACCCACCATCATGCTCTTTTTTTCACTTAACTGTTGTGTTTGGCTAGCATGCATTTTTGCATTATCGGGTAAAGCAACCGCTGAATTCTTCATTGCATAATCAGTAAAGTTGAGCCATATACTTGTCCTTCATTGATTTTGGTTTCTGGTACAGCTGGGTCAAGGAGAACATTTTTCATTAGTCTGAACAACGAAACCGTCAAGTTCTGTTTCCTGTGCTCTCGCTCAAAATATGTGATAGCAAATTTATCTAACTTTGATTAGTCAAGTTCTGCATGAAAATGAGTGTCAGTTTGTATGAATATGCTTCTCAAAGTCTGTTGCTATGCAGGTTGATGCATGCAGATATTTCCAGCCTTGTTTTCCAACCCAGTTTTTTTTTTTTCTCGGGGGTGGGGGTAATACAAAATTAAATAAAAATATTTTTATATTTATTGGCCTCTCGTTATTTTTTTATACCTGTCACGGTTAATAAACTTAATTAAAAGTATACTAATGTTGCATCCCAATTCGATGAAGGCTGTCCCAGTTCGAATGCTTCATCAAATGCGTCTTCCAAATGCGTCCTCCATTTCTCGTGAAATGAAGGAAACTACAGCTGGGTCCTTCGAGGCCTTGCCTACCCCAGAATTCACCAATGATGGCATGATTTTTTTTTTATTGCCGAATTACAACTTTATTGCTGTTAAATGTTGATGTGGAAAGCAGGACAGGTTCGATAGCCATGAGAGAACGGCGCGAGGCTGGTGGCGTTATTGATGATGAGCGGTCTCGAATCTCTCAGAGATGGAAGCCAAAAAGGAGATCGACGACAGTGAAGGATTAGAGAGGACCAGGCCTAGACTATTTAAGTTATGTTTTGTTTATGTGAGTGCGGCAGTCGTCCATGAGGGCCTGCTACTTTTACTTTCATTTTGTTGTTTGTTTATTTAATATGATTAAAAGTTTGTAAAATGTTTGCCAGTTCCCACCTCCTCCTCCTCATAACAAAATACTGTTGACTTATATCTTACTAAGATGTGATTATGAATGGGGTGAGAGGGGCTAACGCGGGGCTAGTTGTAACACACGGTTTAAAACTTTTCACATATTCCAGCATGACAAAATTTATTTTATTTACTAGTTGCCATTTTAACACTATATAGAGAAAAAAATGCACCAAAATAAAAAAATCTTTAGAAGATGTCACTGAAAATGTTAAAAACAACAACAAACAATTTAATTCCTCAGAGGTTCGAGATTTAGCCAATGTCCCATCCTCACCATACACGCCTCATTTAACGAGACACGCCAACCCGATCTCTCGACCAAATCGTACGAATTCGACGAATGATTAAAAAGTGGCTATAATTCGTAACAATTCATACGACCTCACTCGTCCGAATTGGTACAATTTTGCTAAATCGTACATATTTTACGAATTGGCCAATTCGTATGAATTCGTACGAATGACCTACCCCTTACCCCGCCCCTAAACCTACCCATCACATGGGTTTAGACAAATCGTACGAATTTGTGCGAGTGAGGTCGTATGAATTAGACGCTTTTTAATCATTCGTCGAATTCGTACGAATTGGTCGTGAGATAGCGTAGGACACGCACAGACGAATGATGTATGGTATCTCACTTATCCCATGAAAACCATCCTTCAATGTTAATATAAACACTTATAATAGGCTTACCATAGTGAATCAGGGAAAGACAAAAAAAAACTTTTTGAAAAAACAATTGATTTACTGACTCATTTAAATTGTGTTAATTTTGAACAAAAAAGCTAGGTGTACCTTGAATATGAGTTTGATTCACAACTTAACCTAAAAAAACAGTATTATCTTTAAATCCTGCTTTTTAAAGGATGTTCAGACTCAGAAATCATTAAATCAATTACATTTTATACACCTTTTTTTCTTACTCTGCATATATAATTTATTCTCAAGTGCACTTTAAGTTTTCACAGAACAGTAAATGGTTCATTCACATTTAAGAGTGTTTCTCAACACTTAGCACTTAGTGAATATTTTGTAGTACACACCCTATTGCTGCAGTTTTCCATCACATAACAGTCCTGAGCGTCAGGAAATTCTCCCTTGGCTGATGGTTGCGCACACCCACTGCCCAGATCCCTCCACACACACAAACAGACCTTGTTTTGTCTCATGATCCAGCTCACACTAATGCAGGAGGGGAAGGTGGGGAGAGGAAATATAACAAACCCCATTTCAAATCAGTGATTCAGCCATGGACTGATGAGGGGAAAATGAAGCATGCAAAGCTGCAGGCTGAACACATGAGACATAGAAGAGCCAATACAGTCCTGCTCCTGGTGAGCCCGATATGCCTCCTCCTGATTGTCAGTTCCGACTGTTCAGAAGAACAGTCATTTTACCGCTATGATCTAATTTTACACTTCTGGTTACTCTGAGGGCAACCGGCCCATTGCAGAGACAATGATGTTGAAATGCTGCAATTTTTCTTATTTCCCCTTATTTTTGGCTGTAGAGCCAGTCTGATCCTCATACGTGTATGAACGATGCCAAATGCTTTTTATTTCAACAAACTTTATTTCTGTAAAAATATGTGACACTTAATTTGGTGCCTGTGTCAGGAATTATAGTACAACTACCGTTAACACATTATAGCTTAGACTAAATAAAATAAAAACGTGGGTAAATAAAACGTCTTTTTTATGCATGACATTCAAATTTTATCGTAATTGTGAAATATTATGATGGGGGGGGAATCATTAATATCCATTTAAATTTTTAGAAATTATCATACAGTACAAAGTCCTTTGTTTGCAAAACACTGTAATAAAATAAAAAAGAAGTTCTGTAAAGGTCATAATACAATATGCCCTCACTTATGAAAAGCACCCTTTGAGTAAGGAATGACACTGTGATGTCAGTTAGTGTATATATACACTAAATTAAAGAACTAAAGCCTATTCTATTAAAAAAATCTGCCTTTTGTAACAAGTTACAAAATACAGTTACACAGTATGTAATCTACAGTGGCTTTCCTGATATGAAGATCCATTCCAACCTGGTTTGATCCAATTCCCACACGTTTTTGATTTTGTAGTTTTTGTCACGTGATTGTTAATACACTGCTACCCTCCTCTTCAGTGACCTCTTCTGTCTGCCCGATGCGCCCACTGGGCGGATTTTAATTTCGGCAAAGTCAAGAGAGTGCAGGTGCCCCTTCCATGGCTCCCAGTTTACTCCCTGGAAGACACAATCAGGAATGTATTTAAGGTGGGCTTGGGGGGGGGGGGGGCTTGTCCTGAATGTTTGGGCCATTCTTATTTTAATAAGAGTTTTGAAAATGCAGACTAAAAGTTTGTAAAAAGTTGGTACCTCGTAACACCTAAGCTTAGTATGACGTTTAGGAAAACATTTTCTTCTCTTTGTGGCCTAAAATGTTGTTTTCACTCCTCAACATTTAGTACAACCTTCCTGTTAGCCTCACAGAAATAAGGGCTCTAATGGGAACATAAATCTCCAACCAACTTGAAAGTATCGTCTTATTTGTGAACTTATGGGATCTGATAGATTCAGGACACTGCTTTTCTTCTGAATTATTGGGCTATTCTTTGTACATGGCTTGGCTTTAAATCCTGCCTTCAGTGTTGTAATTTGAGAGCTCCCTCTGTTGGTTATTACATTTCATTACATGGCAGATCCCTTTTTCTTTTTTTTTTTTTAAATATCATTCAGCTTCAAAACAAATCATCATAACTCACCATACTGTGTCTGTTATCCCCAAATTTGCCGTTCAGATTGGCCAGGTGGCAGTTCTTGTACCACCAGGCGCCTTGGTGAGTCAGAGCACAGTTACCAAGTGCAATGTCATTGTCTGAATCAACTGTGGAGAAATGCCCTCCCTGGTGGTAGGTCATGGCATCACCTGTGCACAATGTGTTATTAATAAAATGCCTTTGCTTCATATAGCTTGCTAGGCATAATCAGATTACATAATCCAACTCACCAGCGTTTCCTTTGTAGTTGCCAATGGTAAGTTTAAACTTCTGTTTGGATGGTGCTACTTTGAAGTTATCGTAGACGGCATATTTCCGCTCTGATCCAAAGCCCAAATCGAAACGCACCTCATACTGTGTAGGAGTATTAGTCAGCTCATGGATCTTCTCCAAGCCTGTTCCAAAAAAAAACAAAAAAAAAACAGAAAACCTCTGAGCAACTCAAATCAATATCTATTTCTTTATGAACCAAAGACGTGTCTAGGTGAAAGGTTTCAATAAGCATATTATGTGAAATCTTTATTGGATATACCGAGCCAAAATTCATCTTTCAGTTCTCCAAAGCCTTTCATATAGTCTCTCCAACGCTTCATGAAATCTAATTTGCCGGTGTTTCGTCTCTGGAACACCTGTGGTCGATGCATTGGGTAAGTTGTTAAATACAACACTCATGCTATACTGTAGATGCAAATTGAATAAAAAAATGAAGACAGGAAGAATATTTTATAAATGAAACTTAGCACTCACAATCCAGCCACCACCATCAGTCGTCATGTCACAGTACACCTGCATGGTTCTACTTTGGTTGCTATTGATGTAGATTGTGTAGATGCCACTCTCCATGTTTCCATTCCTCATAATCTGAGTGCAGTCCATTGGGAACGGGTAGGCCACACTCTCTAAAAATAGCCCCAATTCAATGAATCAATAATGCTTTTTATTTCTATCAACTTTCTTTTTATTTAATATTTAGTACAAATAAGGCCTTAATGAAGGAATATGGTATTGCATATATTACCTGTACTAAATATCGTCTCCACTACCCTACTCCTCTTTGAGCCCCGGTAGGCAATAAGGGTGACAATGTACCTTTTCCCCATTGCAAGGCCAGAAAGAGCAAATCTATTGTCCTGGGCAGTCAAAGTTTTTTCCAAAGTCTAAAACAATAAAGCAGATAAATTAATCAAACAAAGAAGAACTCAGTTGTGCCAAAATGACAAATGTCTCATAGTATAATATCAAATGTATATTGAATGAATATAATATCATAGTATAAACGGGGAACACTTTACAATAAGGTTCATTAGCTAATGTTTTGGGTATCATATATAACAAAGAACAATCATTGTTTACATCAGTTTATTACCACATTCATTTCATATTAAAATAAAATGTTCACTACTGTTCAAAAGTTTGTGGAAAATTAAGAAGTTAATACTTTTATTCAGCTAGGATGCATTCAACTGATCAAAAGTGACAGTAAAGACATTTATAATGTTACAAAAAAGTTTGGATTCAATTTCAGGTCCCACTTGTGTTGAGGCAGAGCAGAGACTAGAATCATGGGGTTTCTGATTTCCCTTTCAAAAGGGAACTCGCACTGCAAAAATCCAATAGGGTAAAACCTATTGCAATTAATGGCATAGTACACTCACTAACCGGTTCATAGAGACAGGACTCCTGGAGAGTAGAACTCAGCATAGCACTTTATAACCCTTGCAAACGAGGGGAATAACTCTACTTGATCCTGGATCTACACAGCGTTTCAAAGCCCTGTGGAGGCTGGGCACTCTAAATGGACTCTAAAAAGGGGGGTGCCTCCAGCCCTAGGGCTAATCTATCATGAAGGCCTTGTGAAAGTCCTTCAAACTTCTGACCAGACTTAGGGAGTTAAGTATTCAAACAGAGCGATCCTCAGATTCTGGAACATTATGCTCAATCTGATAAGTACTGACCAGGCTCTGGGCTAAAATCAGGGAGGCTCCATGGGGCCTGCAACATGATATTTAATGCCTTTGCAATGCTAAGCATCCAACTCGTAGAGGAGCCACCTTCAAGGAGGTCTGTTAATGCCTAAATACTTAATAGCGAGGACATTAACTGATGCAAGAAGCACCTGGGGTACAGAAAGTGTGCAGATTCGGACTGCAGTGTTATGCAAGATTTAATGCAGCAGAGCATGCCTTCGCCTCCCTGAACTTTCTCACCATCGTCTCGATGGAGGTGCCAAAAAGTTCAGAACGCGACACTAATGGATCGAGGAGAAAAGCTTTCTTTCTCCCTAATGTCATCCAAGTTCAACCACGGATGCCAGTGTAACGGAGGCCAGCGTTGCTGTGAACGAGGTAAACTAAGACCTAGGTGGAGGGGTTGCATTGCTGCCGTGACTCGGATGGGAGTGAGGTTTAGAGGGGTGAGTGTAACAGAGGCCAGCTAGTAGTTGCTGTGCAAGTAAACCTCACTCCTCTGATCTCAATAGGCACTCCAGTGTCAGAGGCTAGAGGCTACAGTCTTTAGCCTCCTCGTTAGAGCGCCCGACTCTCACGCCAGAGACACGGGTTTAAGGCCTGCACAGAACGGGGTGAAGTAGGACCCAGGTGGAGGGGTTACATTGGTGCCGTGACCCGGATGGGAGTGAGGTTTAGGGGGGTGCGTGTAACAGTTGCTGTGCGAGTAAACCTCACTCCTCTGATCTCAATAGGCGCTCTAACAACAGAGGCTAGAGGATGCAGTCTTTAGCTTCCTTGTTAGAACGCCCGACTCTCACGGCAGAGACCCGGGTTCGAGGCCCACATGGCCTCGCACGATGGAGGGGTTATGCCTATCCCTGTCCACCATCGAGTTTGTCCGATGTTTGTTTGGTGGCCCGGAGAGCTAATCTGTAGTGCGGCGCAGCTCGTTTTCACTGCGTCAGGGGAAAGATCCCGACCTTGGTCCAAATCTTTCAGAGGATCAGCGTGGTATGCTTGCAGCACAGCCATTGCGTATGCCCTGCCATTTAAACGTAATGTTTGTTTGAAAGGCAGTGCCAGAGCACTTGGTGTCGATGCCTCTCCAACCACGATGGTGATGAATGCATGCTGAACACGGGTTCTTCCATGCATTTTTCAATCTCATTGTATCGATCAGGCAAAAATGGAATGCTTTATTCCAGCCATAACGCTCCAACTCATCATACGTAGGGCAGGGTGGCTGTAAAGGTGCGAGTTGTAAATCCTTTTCACCCTCATCAGCCATCTCCTGCTTTCTTGGGCTGCCAGTAGCAACTTAATTTGCCAGCACGAGCAGCTGAGGGGCATGAGAGATAAACAACTCCCTTAAACTCCTTGGTACAAGAGAGCGAAGTACAAGAAAAATCTTATAAATGGAAAAATGGAAAAATGTGTGATCTCTCTCTCTCTCTCTATATATATATATATATATATATATATATATATATATACAGTAAAATGATTAAGTAAATGAAGAAATTAACAGTAGTATTATTTCACTTTAGCTACGACAGTATTTAATCTTACTGTACAATACCTTGTAAAAGTGTTACCAATTAAACGGATACAGTATGCAATTGAACAACTTTGTGTGTAGAGCAAACCTGCATGCTGCCATCCTCAGCCCTGTAGGTCAGGATGTAGCCATCAATATTAGCCTGAGGAGCTTTCCATGTAATAGTGGAGGTTTCAGTCTTAACATCAGTGGCTTTGAGATTCTTGGGTGCATCAATCTCTGCGAATCAACAAAAATTGCTTGGTTAAATGAGGTTGACATTGTGTGTCTGGAATTGGTCATGAGAAAACAACTCATTCTAAATGAGCTCTTAATAGATGAGAAATGTCTCTCCTTATAACTATGAGAGTTAGCCTTCCAGTTAGTGTTGAAAAATGATGGATTCTTCCTCTTTAAGCTTTCTGTGCTGAATTAATTCAGTTATCACTACTGCTGAGACAAGACCTTAGCAAAGACCTTCGTCATGCTTCATTTGACATTTTTAGGCAGAAGATGAAAGCACAGGCACAGAGCCACGCTGCCTTCATGAATCTAATAACCTGTTTCAGCTTCTGTTGTGGCTTTTCTGCTTGAGCGAGAGCCTTTCACAGCCCAGACATAGACTGTATAGAGACCTCCAGGCTTCAGACCAGTGAAACTGTAGGAGGTGCTGTCGGCTCCTACTCGAACCTACTGACCGAAGCCATCTATAGAGCTGTAGCTCAGCATAGCCATCAATGTCAGCCTGCACCCTGTCCCACGTCACCGACAACGAGTCCTCTGTCATCTCTCGGGTTAAGAGGTTAGTAGGAGCATCTATGTCTAAAAAGCCATTTGTACAACAGTGTTAATGCTTCAAGGAAGTACTGACATTTGTCTCCTTCAGTTATTTTTCCATTTTCTGGGATTCATCTCAAGATTATGAGTTGATCAATGAAAGATATAAAATAAATGAAAAGGTTTAGTTGTGTGAAGTACTTAAAAAGAGAAGACATGCACATTCTATATGTTTGTCAACGAGTATAGGACTTAAAGGTGAACGTGGTTTCATCAAATTGAACATGTTCATGGATCAACATTCCAATCAATCAGTCAGATTTGAGGTATAGGTTAAAGTTAATGTCAATCTTTGGCTTCCAAAAAGGGTTAGAGGCTTCAACATCATTCTTATTTACCAATCCTTTCCCTCTGATTTTAGGGAGAAGTTATGGGTAGGGTTAGGTTTAGGAATAGAGTTTTTGGACAGGAATGTTGTTCCAGGATCAATAAAAGATGTTGATCCAGGAACATGCCTTACTTTTCAAAATCACAGCAACCAGGACATAAACTAGTAAACCTGTAGGGGGCGCTGTAGTTTCTTCTTATTTGGCCAGAGTTTTGATTGTAACAGTTGTCTTTCTATTCTTTGATCAAGAAGTTAGTAGGAGTATGTATTTCTAAATTAACAGTTAACACATTTGATTAAAGGTGAAGGACTGTCATACTTCACCACTCGTGAAGACTATCTATCTTCAAACGTCAAGGCTTTCTAAATATTCTACACAGTTATATGAATTTCTTTGAATTTCAATACATTTTAACTCAACTTCTTTACTTTCATAGTCAAATTGCAATTCTGCATCCAGTTTGTTTGCTCAATTCTAATTATTTTCAAATTCAATTCTGAATGGAGGGAAACGTTTTTAATGCACATTTCTACATTTGAGCCATGCATGATTGAAAAATGTATCTGTAGAAAGAAACAAGGCTACATGTCTCAGTACAGCACAATAACTGAAATTTAGGGAGGGTAATTTGAATGTCAAATTTAGTGCATCAGAAGAAAATCCACTCACTGAAAGGTCCTACTTAAAGCATTATTATTTCTGCAAAAAGATAAATGGTCCAAAACAGAGAACTTTGTGTTAGTTTGCATGAGCTGATTGGTAGATGCAATTCAAAAACCTGTTGATGCTTCTGTTGAGCTCTTTTTGCTAGTGCGGAGGCCCTTGATGGCCCACACATAGACTGTGTAGAGAACTCCAGGCTTCAGACCAGTGAAACTGTAGGAGGTGCTGTCAGCTCCTACTCGAACCTCCTGACCGAAGCCATCTATTGAGCTGTAGCTTAGCATGTAGCCATCAACGTCAGCCTGCACCCTGTCCCACGTCACTGACACCGAGTCCTCTGTCACCTCCTTGCTCATGAGGTTAGTAGGAGCATCTATGTCTAAAAAGCCATTTGTACAACAGGTTAATGCACCACATTTATGCATTAAAGCCATGCACATAGACAGTGCAGCAGAGGAGAATATGATTTATGTCCATGTAAAGGAATGCATCACTGAACCATGAAGAGGGTAGAGTATCTATCCTTTTTATACCGAAACAACGAATGCAGGATGCAGATAGCAATTGCTATTATTTCCCATCACAATTTGACTTTATTTCCCTCTTGGATCTTGGTAAAGTTTTTTTATCTTATCTAATACTGGTTGCTTCTTTAAAAAGTTGAGCAAAAAATAAATGACTTTCATTAGTGTAAAATTGGAACTTCTCTGTGCTTATGAAAAGTACAATTTTCTCAAATTAGTGTTCAAGCTTGATTAATGCAGCCAGCAGGTTCTGTTAGAACGTTGCAATTCATCATTATACGACACAGAGACGGAAAACAAAACAGCGCCGAATGCTGCTGCTGTATAATAGTATTATTTAAAAGCATGTCATATAAATGTCTTGTATGAATGCTTTGCAACTGTGTATCACACGAAATACAGGGTTGATGCTTTAATGCTTATGGGAATTTATCCATCAAAACTAACAAGGAATTTCTTGCAAGCACTCCTTTTCTGTCAGTGTCTGTGTTGTTGTGTGAGCACAAATAACTGGCCAATCAACACTCAATCAATATGTATATAAATAATATTTATCATTTTTATGCTGTCATTTTTTTGTTGTTGTTGACATTTCGGTAACCTCGAATCCAATCCACATTATTAAAATGTAAACTTATCATTCCTAATCAAGGATAATAAAAAGCTACTGTTCGTCTACCACAGATCTGTTAACCTGATCGATACTTTGCATTTAATTTGAAGATTTATGCATTAAAGTGAAGTATTTGCACAGAGCAAACATGTTTTGAGAGGAGTGATGAGTGAATTATTGTGCAATCAACTGTGTATTATGTATATTAACATAAACATAATTAGCTTCAGACATTTTATGTAACAGTAATGCTTAAGTCAGCTACAGAAGCAAACATTATGAAGTTCAGGCACCAGCTACTATAAGTAACATTTCCAACAAAATAATTTATACTTTAGATTCCTTGATTCCTGTAAGCAAAACCTTATATATTCCACTTGTTAAAGGCTGTATCATTCTTACATGAAAACACAATGTAAATAAAAAATACAATGAGGGTCACACTATAGTGCACAGATTTCTTCTATTGCTCTTTAGATGCTGTAATGTGAACAGTGATAAATGGTTATGGAAACCAAACAGAGGATACGCATGGGCACATTAGTTATACATCCAAGTGCTTCTGTTTGGGTTGTGTTTCCTGACTGGATGTCAGCTGCTAATGCACTTAGACCATCTGGTATACCGTCTACAGCATCACCCACTGGAAAAATAATAACTTTCTTGTTCTCACTTGTAAACTTGAATTTCTATGAAGGAGTCTTATTATTACAAGGTTGGCAGTTTAAAAGAGCTGAAAAAAAACATCCCTTCTATATGTCTTGATGCCTGTTAATGATGCTTGGTCTTATGGAAAATTAAATACTAGAAAATGATGGCTCCACAATATACGGTTGAAAAGTGGTAAGTTGCTGCTGCATGCAATGCTGATTCCCAGATAAAATGCTCACTGTGCGTCTGCTAAATGCACAAATGTAAATGCTTTCTGCTAGGAATGCATGCAAAGGCCTTGATGGAGAGACAAAAACTCTGCCAAAAGGAAATAAAATCAAGCAAGGAAATGACTGCTTAGATGCACGTGAAAGCAATGAGAATCTGAGAATGTCACTCTGAGAAACTAGAAAGATCAAAGCCAATTGGCAAGATCCCTTGAGGGAATGCTTGAAATGAGGAAATAAAAACAGAGGGTAAAGCCCCAAATCCTCACCCAGAAGGTGAACAGCTTACCCGTCTCAGCCTCAGTCATGCTCTTCCTACTGGAACGAGAGCCCTTATAGGCCCAGAGGAACACTGTGTACAGGACTCCTGGCTTCAGAGAGGTCAGCTGGTAAGACGTAGCGTCCGCTGCCACTTTAATTTCTCGGCTGGTGCCCTCTGCAGAGCTGTAAGTCAGCGTGTAGCCATCAATCTCAGCACGAACACCATTCCACGTCACAGTTGCGGAGTTCTCTGTCACCTCCCTGGTTGCCAGATTAGTTGGGGCATCAATGTCTATTGTATAAGATAAGTCAAGACATTCGGTTTAAAAAAAATGCACCAATAAAAGAGAAAAGATTTTCTAAATTAAAACTTGAAGACAGTGACTCTGGCATCCCTACAGCCATGTAAAATGTAAATGAGTATTTTGTCCAGCAAAAATATTTAAACAATTTAAATTGTACACACAATAAAAATAAATTAAAAGACAATAATATTTACATGAAATATTTATGACAAATGCACTAATTACTCACAATTGTACATATGATAAAAAAGACCAGATATTTCATTTAAATTCTCAGATTTTTGTTGCATACATTTTATTTTATTATTATTTATTTATTTCATTAAGTATTTTGATGAATAACGTTTAATGTATTTAAATATTTATAAAATGCTCTTTTTGGGGGATAAATTTACAATACATTTACTTTCCCACACCCCCATATTACATGGATGTTAGTTACCCGACAAAACTTTTCAACGCATTCTCACCCCAAGGCGTCACCTTTGACCATGCTTCAATATTTGACGTTTTAGGCGCCCTTTAGCGTCACTTACATGACGCGATCCTACGGCGTCATCTAACTGACGCTAAAGGAAAGCGTCAGTTAGAGGACGCGGTTAGGTTTAGGTGTGGGGTGGGGGTAGGGTACACGCGATCCTAGGGCGTCATCTAGCTGACGCTAAAGGGCGCCTAAAGCGTCAGATATTGAAGCATGTCAAAATGCTTCCCAAGGCGTCAGTTAGGTGACGCCTTGGGAGTGAGAATGGGCTGAATTTTTTCACAGTGAATTGATTCTTTGTGAATTCATTAATAAACGGCAAACTTGTAGTATTTTGTATGCAAGGGAAAGTAACTGCAGGAACAAGATTCTGTTTTTTGTATTTCATCAGGCTTATGGATTCTCAATTATCAAGACCTGAAGAGCTGAGGATGTGCGCAGGGTCATATAGGCAGTGCCGTAAGCATTTGTGAGCAGTTTCACTGGAACTAAGAGAGTGCCCATGCAATGCAATGGAGGAAGTGAGGAGACAAGGAAAAGCAATCATCATTTAGGTTACCGTTCTGTGACTGCGGCAGGGTTAGCCGAATGTCACCATGCTATCCGCATCATGGAAACTGAGTCCTGATGCCTTCCAAGATTGCTAGAATCCATTTTATGCTCTCTGATTGCCAAGGTGGACTTATCATGTTTGACTCGTCTGGGTTTTAGACATGGACCAGAATACAAAACAACACCTTACACTGGACAGCAGACAACACCAATGCTAAACGCATTTGTGAGATATTGAAAACATCATGACGCTACAATTGCCTAGTCAATATCTCATTACACAAACCACCACTCATAAACCACATTATGTGCCAAGCAGCTCTTTTCTGTGTTATGTCGTATGCACATAATACAGTATGTGCTTTATCAAACGTGTGGCCAGAGGGATTCAGCCAAACTGCCAAATGTATCTCTATTCCTGTCTCTGATCATTGAAGTATAGTCAGATTTGATATATTTCTCCCAAATTTCTCTGGACACATGTCAAGCATCCAGGCCAGGGTACAGCAGGGGAGAGCAAATAAGTTGGAAGCACTTTTCTATCCATCATGACAATCGGGGCAGAATTCATGTCTATGTCAAGATGTGCATTGTAGAAAATACATCGCAATGCAAAACGATGCACAGAAAACAATGCGATTATTCAACGGCTTGTGAGTGCATTCATTTCATCTGCATTGCATTTAGCACAGCATATAAGAAAACAAGCTCACGAATACACTCAATGTAAGTTGTAGATCAACAACTCAATGTTGTAGATGTGCATGTGTTATGTAATAGAATTAAAATATAGCTTTAATAAATGTTTGAAATTTGTCCAACCCAATCTCAAGGCAGTTTGTATGAATTTTACGATGTGGCTAATTCGAATGAATTTGCGAGATAGCGTTGAATTCGTCACTATACCATGCGGTACACTCTGCAAATTGTTTTTGGTAATGGCTTTTATCAGAGAAAGTTTTCTTAAGTTAAAATAGACCTTTCTCAAGAGAAAACACCTGAACCATTTGTTTTAATGATTTTGAAAGCCCTTCCTGGTAAATAAAGCTTTAAAGTAGCGCAGGTCAAGATGTGAGGTCTTGTTTACCCCAGGACATTAAGTTCTTTGAAGCAGTCCAATCCAATGATTCTTTCCACTGAACAAATGATGCATTAAACTCCCTTGTGGTGGCAAAACTACACCTGATCGTTATGGAGGAGGCGAGGACACGTTGATTTCAGGGTAGTACAAAAGTCTGCGGCAGATTGAATGGCTTCAATTGTAGAAGAAACATCCCCTATAGAGCAATTTTATTCCTTTTATAGAGGCAGTCCTTTTATTTAATTTAAAAGTTGTTTGTCTATGGTTCCCAGGAATTCAAAAAAAAAAAAAACTCCAAAGTGCTGTTCAAGTCATCGATGCTAAAAGAAACCTGTTTTTTATGTTGGGTTATTATCCCCGGGTTCCTTGTAAAGCTCGCAATCAGATCCATAAATTTCACTGTTCATTCTCAGGTCAGTCTGAATGCTTCAGTTGCAAAACACAAGGAATTCTACATTAAAGAGTATGGCCGCCCTGCATTGCATTGGATGACAAGAAGAATAATATACACTCTGTGATGCACATGCACAAAATATGTCATGTCCATGAAGAAGCATTGAAAAACCATTTCCTGTTCCTACGGTTTGGTGAGACTAAGTGTGGGAGTATCTGGTGCTGTAATTCATAAGTTGCTGAGCAGAGGGAAAATCCTGTCTACTGGAGGCCCCTCTAATAGCTGCTGTAGCTGTCAGGAACAGACTTAAAGGATGTAGTACTATCGTAAATTTAAAGGCACAGTCTTTAGTCACTCACAGGTGTTAAATTCACACTAACCTGAGCACTTTTTGAAAATGAGAATCTTGTTGAGGCTCAGATTAGGTGTGCAGCAGAAATAAAATATTTAATGTGCAATAACACCTGGGTTGGAGCCACCTCACCCATACTATCCTGCCCTCAAGATGGATGAGATTTTAATCCCTCCGTCGTGATGAAATCACCCCTGTCCTCTACAACCTTCACTGACAGTCAAACACAGGATCAACTTCAAAATACTTCTCCTCACATACAAAGCACTTAATAAACTTGCTCCTCCATACTTCATCATCTATGTGGGCTGCGTCTTTACATTGATTGTGTAAGTAAATGGATGTCTGCGTGTTGTCAATTCGGCGGGTAACTTTGACAACATAAACGAACAGATGCATATGGCTGCAACTATATTGTTATTTTTATGGCATAATTACCTGCAGCACCAACTATAAACAAGACTAGTTAAAATTCACCAAATGAACGTCCTCATCGTGCGAACATTTTATCGTCGCTGGCAGGAAAGGAGGAGAAGACTGCAAGTTGACTTCTTATTATGTCGTCAGACCATAATTCGGTAACACTTTAATTTGATAGTCCACTTTAGACATTCTACTAACTATAAACAACTTTTTAACTACATATCAACTAACTGTCATTAGAGTATTAGTAGACTGTCAGCTTAAAATCTGCTAACACTTTATTTTGTTGGTCCCTCAACAGACATTCAACTGACTATAAGTAACTTGGCGACTACAAGTAAACTTATTCTCCTAACCCAAAGCCTAACACCCAACCATAACATAAGAGTCTACTGACAGTTTACTATAATATACTAATACTCTAATGAGAGTTAGTTGACATGTAGTTGAAAAGTTACTTATAATTAGTAGAATGTCTAAAGACTATCGAAATAAAGTGTAACCCATAATTCAATTAAAAACCTCGACTCCTTATCTCCACATGTGCAACCACAACTAATTTTTCCTGCCACATTCTGTTTTTTCGGCTTTTTGGGAACCACCAGAACTTCCCGTAAAAGGTCTAAAAGTCTGAACCATACAGAAATGCTTTCATACTAGAAACGAACCAAACCAACAATTGTTCAATTTGATCCAGACCGAGACTACCTCTTTTCGTCGGACCAATCATCACCAGTTCACCAAACTGAAAATTCCGAAAGTCTGGACCAAACAAGCTAGGTGTGAAAGACACATTTATGTGTGGTGGTTTAAAACGTGTCAATTTCATGGATATCGATGAGTTAAAATTTCAAATATGTTGGCCTAGGCAATTTTCCTTTTGTTTTATATAGTATTAAAAGATCTGCCATCTGTATTTCTTCAATAGCTTTCAGTTTCATAGTTGGAGTAGCGATAGGTTTGTTTACAGTCCAACAAATACGTGAATGGGCCACATTTGATGTTCTAGCTGGGGTTACTTTGTGTTACTGTTACGATAGCCAGCCCTTCTGGATTATCCGTTTCAGCGCCCCCTTTCGTACGGTTACTCACATAATTGCTTCCTAGTATGCAGGACTGCTGATTGACTGCTGAATGTCTATCACCTGTTCTGATTTAACTCTGATTAGTTAACCTATATCTGGCTTGTTAACCTGGCGTCCGTTTATGAAGGATTCTTTCACTGTTGTGTGCATGTCTGAGAATTGCTGGTTTTACTCTGCTTGCACCGGTTCTGAATAACACCCAAATTATTTATTCTAGAAGCTATTACAATGTACAATCATTCTGAGCCAATATTTTAAAAATCCAACACAAAGTTAAAGTTTCCAGCAACTTTTTGGCAACAGCCTGACTGTGTAAAGTAAATTATCTTTGCTTGGAAGGGATTAGCGCTGTAGGACTAATATAAGGTCAGGTTTTAGCTACCTGACAGGGCTCAAATAGCCTGAAGAAGCAGTAAGCTTCAGTTTGAAGCTCATTTAAAGTGATAGTTCACCCCCCAAAAAATAGCATTCTATCTACTCACTCTTATGAATTTCTGTCTTCTGCATAACATAAAAGAAGATATTTTGAAGAATATGGGAAACCAAACAGGCCCAGGTACATGGAATTCGATGGGGCATTGGGACTGTTTGGTTACCCATATTCTTTAAAATACTGGGTGAGTAATTGATGACAGAATATGAGGGTGAGTAATTGATGACAGAAACTAAATCACCACTGCGCACCACTGCGCAGGAAATATAGGCCTCATTTACACTGCAGGTCTTAATGTCCAATTCTAAATTGGTGCCTATATCTGATTTTTTTGACCATCCATTTACACATTCTTTCAATAGTGACCCATATCCGATTCATGCGCGACCTTTGATATATTATGTCAACATTTCTCATTATTCAACATTATTCCAAATTCCTCTCCTATGACGACACAATGTTCCGTCCCTTTGCAGATGCGCGTTGGGGTTGTTCTCGTCATTAAACCATGGATATGTAGCCTAATGCCTCAGAAAATCTGATCTACCTGTTTACATGACAGTCGCACATCTGATTTAAATCTGATTTATTTCCACATATGAACGAGGCCTGAAACCGATCTCGACATGTCCGAAAGCATGTTTTTCATATGATACACAGTTTTAGCACATGCATATGATACGCACTTTATGGCATGTAATACGCACGTACCCCACACCACTAATCCTACCCAAGGGGTTTACAGAGCGTATCATATGCATGTAAAAACTTGCGTATAAATTGCACTGTAAATACAAAGCGTACTAAAAACGCATTTCGGGAGATTTGGTTGGATCAGCTAACTGAGACTTGGCAAACTCTAACAGCTACAGTAATTTATCTATCTTAACTTTGGGTAAGAGCTGAATTCCCACAGGTAAACAGCCTGAGAAAGTAAACTATATTTGTGCTTACAGCAATAATTCAAAGATACAGATAAAAATATAGCATTTCCATGCCCTGCATTTGACATATTAAAGTCGCACCATGAATGTAACTGTGGTAACGTATGATAAGTTTTCTTTGCAACCATAGTTTTGTGTCTTTAACCATAAATCTAAAGGGATGTTCTTATTATTGGGCCAAAAGCACTGTTGGATAAATATTCAACAGGGAATATCCCAAAAATCCATAAATACTAGTCCAAGCATTTAGGCTATAAAATGTAATGCTAAAACATGAAAAATCCTTTTTAATGATTTAAGGGCTATGGCTAATTGGCATTTTAATAAGGGGAATATTATATGACCAGTCCATCAGAATTATTCTACAACATTTCCAAAAGGACATGCACAAATCACATTTTTAAAAGACTTATTTTCATTAGACATCATTGCGCACTTCTAATGGGGATTTACAGACCACAGTACAAATTTATTTCCACATCATTTGACAGGTTTAGTTAGTATAAGGATCTCATTGTTGGCAGACTATCAGCTCTAAAGCATCCTGGATCACTACCTTTAAAATATCTTCAGCTTCAACCACTAAGATACCTATAATAATAATAATAATAATACAGAAACCGATGCCTCTAGGGTTCTTCATGAATATTTGTTGGTTTTGGACATGTGTATTTTTTCAGAGCAAGAAATGTTAGAACTGCCACATTTCAATAGCCCTGGGTGAAATAATAAAATGGATTTGTTGTTTTTTTCAGTCAAGGAAGCAATTTAATTGATTTATGGTGACAAGGAAAATATCTGTCTTGCGCACTGGGCTGTAAAGATTTTAACTACCATTGGACACTGAACCCTTTCAGAAGAAAATATTTTCTGAGAGGAAAGCATGAAAGGACTCCCTCCATTAAAAGATTGTTGTGGTAAAGATTTCTATCCCTAGCATCAACATCAGAACAATAATCTGATTTCTGCATCTATTTGTCTCTAATTTTTCACTTCCTTCATTTCTTTCAGTATCTTTTAAAGTTGTAATTTCTACACAGACAAAGGTCAGGGGTCAGGTTTGACCTTTTGTACAGACAAGATTAGAATAATAAAATGTAAAATCACATATAATGTGAAAACGACACGGGCTAATAAACATATTGAATATAATAATGTTGTATTGTAAAAAAGAATGACCTGAAGAATGAGAATGGCCTTCTAAAAAAATACAAATAAGAAAAGGATTCTGTTTTGGGTTTAGGGGACAGAAAATATAGTTAGCTCAATTTAAAAAATGCAATAGAAGTCAATGAAAAGTCCTCACTGTGGTGTAGAAAAACAAAAGTGTTATCTCATACATTTTACTTTCCACTTAATGCATTGCAACGAGGCACATCACTGACCTGTGACCCCTGTGGCATACGATGGCTTGCCTTCAATTTCACCTTTGATCACTTGTACACCTATCTGATATTCTGTTCCTGGGTTGAGGCCTGAAAAACACACATTCATGTTGTTCTCACTACACAGCCACTGAATTAAACATACTCTGTCTGAAGCTCAGGAACCCATTATAATAGATGGATGTATTGCAGCAGACTGACCAACAATGGTGTGCATGGTTTTAGCCTCCTGGCTCATGGCCACATTCTCCTCTCCTCCCTGACCATCAGGGCTAGAATGGGTCAATTTGAAGTGGTCCACAGCGATCGCAGGGTTCTTCCAGTCCACCTGGATGGAGTCCTCTGTCTGGCCCACCACCTTTATTCCTTCAATACCAGAAACCTCTGAAGAGAAAAGCAGATCAGGGCAATATCTGTTATGCACAGTAAATAGTGATTTTTTTTTTCACTGCGTAATATGACAGTAGTAGCATATAACTTTACATTGTCACTGTTACAACATGATCATTTTGTTTACCAGTGGCATTGTAGAATTACCATATTCTCTGAATGTATTTATCCATGAATATTTTTTTCTTAGGAGAAATCAAATCCCTGAGCAAGACACTTAACCCCTAGTTGCTCCAGAGGCGTGCGACTTTTGACATATATAGTAATTGTAAGTCGCTTTGGATAAAAGCGTCAGCTAAATGAATAAATGTAATGCAAATGTAGGGGGCCCCCTAGTGGTGGTGGGGCCCTAAGCAGCCGCTTAGTTCGCTTAAGCCCCTTTCACACAGAGATTCCGGAAAATACACGGATAATGTGACCTGGCATTTGTCCCAGGATTGTTTGATTTCGGTTCATTCACACTGCCAGTGAATTGCCGGTATCTGAGAATGCGTTCACACACAACCCGTAAAGACACATGATGTCAGGATTAAGGCCAATTTATACTTCTGCGTCGAGGGTACGCCGTAATGTACGGCGTTGGCTTCGCACGTAGACGACGCCGTTGTGAGCATTTATACTTCTGCGTTCAGGTATTGGTTGCGCTGCAGTACTGCTCCGAAACGCTAGGAGGCGGCGGAGGGTTTTAATGTTCCACTGTGTTTAGATTCCTCGCGGCTAGGTTACTACAAGCAATAGCGACTGAAAGAGAGTGGATCATGTTGGAGTTGGAGCTTATTGGGGTGGAAAAACAGTTCATTTTAGTGAAATTACTAAAACTGAAAGGCAGAAATGAGAGAAGACGTCGGAGGAGATGGTACGTGTGGAAATGCGTGAGAAGGTAAGTGCGGAAATGCGTATGAGGAAATACGATGCTACCAAGCCGACCAATCACCGATCTTGCGGTCCGCGTCGTCACGACGTGTAGTTACATTTTTGAAGAGGTGCGCGTCAGGCAACGCGGAAGGGTACGCGGTATGGGACGCGCTTGTGCATATGCTACGCCGTTTCTACTGCGCAAACCCTACGCAGAAGTATAAATTGGCCTTTAGACATGTATCGTACGCGTCAAAAACATGTACACGTGCATAACGTTCCACAAAGCTGGTGAACGATCTCAGCTTCAGCACGGATAGTGAGGAGCTCCTGGTCTCTGCTTTGTTCCAGTTTGCAGACATTTGTTCGCCCTTTCTTTGTTGATGACGAACACAAACTTTCTTCTAAGAGCAACAGAGTTGCGCAATGGCACGAGCGTCATCACTATGACACACCCCTTACGGCATTGGTCCTGGCTTTTGTTCACACAGCGCACGTTCCGGGACTGATTCCAGCAATGTTACTAGGTCCCCAACCCGGCATTGATGCCGGTATCAATCCCGGGTCTTGTTTGTGTTCACACAGAATGCGTTCTGGTAATTTCCCGGGATCAACGTGCTGTGTGAAAGGGGCTTTGCCGGTACTCCTCTTACAAGCATCCGTCTTCAACATTCTGCCTCCGGAAGACAGAAATGAGTTACAGCCAAGTATTCTACCACTTCAGACTGAGTGGGCCCTTCTCATCTCTGTGAAGGGAATGCTTTCAAACATTCAAACTCTTTGTTAACCAGTGACTGACAATGTCCCATGCTGACCCTTCATCTTTGTCATCATATCCAGATGATCAGCACTTTCTCATGGGAGTCTAATGTGTTGTTAGAATGTACAACTGACCACATCAAAATGCTGTAGTGCACATCCCATTGTTACACAACTGCAAGCATTCTTTTCCATGAAAATGTGTTCTTGGCTATTCATTGAACTCTACAAGCTTAGTTACATCTGGCATTATGGTTAACACAAATACCCCCTATTTCTTTAGTTTACAAGGCATTGGAGACATAAAATCTATTTTAAGCTGTAAATAAATAAATAAAGCCCCTAATACTGCATGATTACAAGTATCTCTGTAGCATTGTAAGCAATCATTCTTACCGGTTGTAGCCACTATCTCATCAGAATCACTGTTAATGCCCCTGATGACAGCGTACACCTGCACTATGTACGTGACTCCGGGTCTGAGGCCTGTGATTAGGTAGGAGTTTTTTGTGTTTTCGACCTGGACCTCTTTAATGGCTCCCTCGTCTCCCTTTGGATAGTAGGACAGGATGTAGTACTCGGCTCCTCTTACAGACTCCCACTCCACCAGCAGAGATACATCTGTGACTTTGATCAGACGGAGGCCTTTTGGTCCTAGAACTGAAGTATGAAATGAAGTATGAAGTATGCTGTCACCACTGGCAGTTTATAAGCATTCTTTTACATCAGATGACATTGGGCCAATGCAATGGGGTCCGGTTTATTAAAAGATTTGTTCACCAAAAAATAACAGAGTGCAATAAGTCACAATTTACTGAGAATCTTCCCCCCTCTGAAACAAAAATGAGTGTGGGATTTACTTTGAAAAAATGTCAATTCACAAGTAATTTAATATATATATATACTGTATATATTGTATATATACTGTATATATACTGTATTGGTATATATATATTGAAATTACAAATAAATAAAGTAGTAACAATTAGTTACTCTGAATTCAAAAATTAAATCAAGTAGAAAGACTAAAACAGTAAAACCTACTTCATTTTTTACAGGCTCAATGTGCTCAGATCATTCCGATCTTTCCGTGAACAAATCATTCAGACCATTTACATCAACCAATTTATTAAAAAAAGATCCGACTCAAAAGAACAACCAATTCATGAATAAGACATTGCCACTTCTCTCAAGTACACAAGGAGTGTTTTTAATTGAATCATTTAAGTACATTGATTTGTTCATCACACAAACTGCAAAATACTTGTACCCTGAGTCATATGGGCCACTTTTATGATACATTTATGGTGCTTTTTTTGTTAAAAATAAAAGGCCCCATTCTCTTTTATTTTATTTAAAAGAATAGCCAAACTATTCTTTGACAATTCTCCATTTGTGTCCCACAGAAGAAAGTCGGTCATACAAATTTTACCCAGTTTCATTTCTTAAGCTTGTTCACATTTTTGCAGCTCATCTTGCCAAATAACAAATGATCCTGAGGTTTACTGAACACCTTAGCTGGCTATTTTTGGGAGATCTTACATTTTCACTCTGGTTACTTTGTGGTTTTAGACCTCCATCAATAAGCATGGATTTGAACAAAACTGCACATCAGTGAAGAAAGAAAAGAGGTAGGTCCCAGACCAGTAACTATCCAGGAGCCCCAGAGTCAGACAGACTGTCAGCAGCCCAGGGAGAGAAGTTTCCATTAACACATTACCCACCGGCTTATGGGGAAAATATAAAGGAGATGGTGAATTTAAGGAAACACTGTTAGAGGGGGGAAAACATCAGGGAACTCCATGAGGGGGAGAAAAGGGTGCTGTGGAGACCGCATTACCCAGGAAAGAATGAACAGCAGGTTTGGACATTGTTCAACATGGAGAGAGGGCAGGAAGTCAAATGTTTTCCTTCAATTCTGCAGGAGCCTTTCCATCCAGTGGCAGTTAATATGGCCATTCTTGCCGTTCTCTCCAGGGTTTTCCAGTAACAATTTCACCCGTAAATAATATCCCAAAATGCCAGCAGAACTAATGAATTATCATCAGCCAGCTGGAAAGAAAGCATAGGTTCGGGAAATGCATGTTCCCACTGATTGATTGTAAGGGATAACCAAAGCCATTAAACTACAATTATAACACAGTTCTGTTTGGACTTTTGGACACACAAGCATAAATCAACAGTGGTGGTTCTTCTAGCCAGAGCAGCATCAGTCTGATGCTTAAAGTACCTTTAAATAACTATAAATGCCATTTTAATTGCATTTTCTTGTAATCCGTAATAGATATATACGTTTTTTGATGTCACAATCATATATATTTATTGTGAAATTGGGCAGTCAAGGCCTAATGGTTAGAGTCAAACTGGTAACCTGAAGATTGTGGGTTTGATACTCAATATCCCATTAGCTCCCAGAGAGTCCACAGTTCTCTACGCACTGCTCTTAATGTGTAAACGCTAGCTTCGACGAGTTACCATACTTGGCCTTCACTTCACTTTCACTTCAATTTTTTTTTTTATAACAAAACTTTGTTATAATAAGGCTTTTTATGCAGTGTCTAAGCAGTAGCAGATGTTTTCATAGAAGGTAAATCCAAGTCTAATCAGCATCTGCACTGTGTTGTTGATTTGAAATTAAGACATCCACCAAAACCCAGACTCATTGTGGTCAGAACGAAGTTTCCACGCTGATCTTTTAGATGATCAACCACTTTTACCACTTTTACTTTTACCTTGTACCACTTTTATGATTAATGTAGAATCGTTTTATGGTGTTTCCTCAGTTTTACATACAGGTCTAATCTATGTGGGTTTGTAAATCGCTTCCACATAATCCAGTCAGTCTGGACCTGCAACCCAAATTTCTTTATTTATACAGTACACTACCGTTCAAATAATCAGCAAGTATGACTTAAATTGATCCATTCCTTATTTTTTTAAATAAATGCTGTTCTTTTGAACTTTCTATCAAATCAAGAAATCCTCAAAAAAGCATTCACAAAAAGCATTCACATTCATCAATAATAATAAACATTTCTTTATCCTCAATTTTTTTGTAGGATCATGCGACACTGAAAACTGGAGTAATGGCAAACAATTTTTTTTTTCTTTTTTGTATTTTAATCAAATAAAATGCAGCCTTGGTGAGCATAAAATACTCCTTTAAAGAAAAGGGGAAAAAATACCAACCCCAAAATTGTTTGTTTTTTGTTTTAAAAGGAATATTAAGTGTTTTACCCAAACATATCATATTCAGACATTTCTGTACCAGACGCATGATATAATGGGCATTTTGATTTTTAAATTAATTTGAACATAGTTTTGTGTATTAAAACAACTATCATTCAAACCCTAATAAATGCCTCTTAATATAATATAACCCCTATATGTTTTATTGCTTCTGGTCTTCATGGTATAACTTTTAAAGCATCGTCTAAGAATCCTCATAAGATTTCAAAAGTCAGATATCGCATATGCACTAACGAGTGTGGTTTATTAATGATGGCAGTTCCCTATAGGCTTAGATATGGAGAATCTTTCAGACAAGTTATGGACAGCTGAAACCCTCAAGTTATATTCCAAAGCCAATTAGTGTCAAGATCATGAGAATGTAACAGCTAAATTGATCTGTTTGACTAGTTTGCAGTGCTTGCTTTCAACTCCCTACTATTATCATTCTTGGAGTAAATTACACATGTGCCCTAACTCCCCTAAGAAACCATTTCAGAAGTGTTAACACAGAGATGATGTGTCACACCCCAAGGCTCTGGCCATGGCTAATATTTTTTGAAACTCATCTATCCATGCATTCCAACTCTGAGGCACTCCACTTTTATCTGAAGGTCTGAGGGCGAAGATGGAACAGAAAAGGATTGATGAAAAACAATTCCCTTGTGCTAATGAGGCCTATCGTTTACCTTTTCTTGCAGCAGGAGACTGAAAAAGAGAGTTAATACAAGCAAATGATCTACCTCAAAGTGTTCATTTAACTCTTATATAAGCATTTATTGGAAAAGTATGGGAGTAGCTGTAAATTGTAAAGTCTGTCGAAGCTTGAACTAGAAAAGTTGCCCCTTACTTTGTAATCTTGAAGAATCCTCTCAAATAAAGCATATACTTTGCAGAGTCTAAGTATGAATTTTAGTACTCAAAGTTTCTGATTATATGACTGTTTTTAAAAAGAAATGCATTTATTTGCATTTCTCTAACTAACGTGTGGTGCTTGTTGGTTCAACTCAAAAAGATGAGTATATTGTAGATTTTTTTACAATATACTTTTTTTTAAGAAAAATTGTGTTGTAAGTTGCACAAACTTAAAGGGCACATTGCAGGTTAGATGACCCAACGAGTCATTGTAGAGAAAAATAATGTAGGAACTAGATTTTCTTTAAAATATACTTCTAAATACGCTACGGAAGCTTCTGGAGTCGTTTTTGTGAGAACATTTTACTTCCGCGTCTGAAATGGGTGTGGCGGGCGTGACACAATAGGTAGCAAAACAATGGATAGCAATGGCATTTCGGACGCTGAGGTAATTGTTCATACACTCTAAAAAATGCTGGGTTGTTTTAACCCAATTTTGGGTCAAATATGGACAAACCCGAAATGTTGGGTTAAAAATGTAATGTAAAAATTTAACCCAACGGCTGGGTTAGTCCATATTTGACCCAAAGTTGGGTTAAAACAACCCAGCATTTTTTAGAGTGTACTTACTCATATGACGGACCACAGCCATGCAATTATGAGCCTGCTATGCTGCTAAGAGAACAGGGACAGGCCAGGATAATGTTAGACAGAACGGTCAGAGACAAATTGAGTTGTGCTGTGAGGAGAACCAGAGGAGAACAGGACAGGTGTTTTGGTGAGAGACGTGCTTATAGATATATACACGTTCGTTAAGGATATACACTGAGCTCACAATATTGTACAGATTATATTACCATCGTATGTCAGGCCAGTAGACATTAGTATGTTTAGGGTAGATTTATACTATTAAATGTGCATATTTTTCACCTGGGTTATAACAAACAGAAAATTAAAGATTTGAATATTTAAACAACCTAGTAATTTTGTTTTTCAATTAAGTTGCCTCTATTTAGGGCATGACTACCCATATCACAGTATTTGATGCCATTGGTACAGTATACGACAATCAATATTCTTGCTTCAGCATTTCATGTTAAACTCCATCATATCGACGGGAGGATAATCCTCCGATCTGAAGTGTAGATACGCTACACACGACCACGTTTTTCGAAGCCGATGTGAGAAATCCCGTCTTTTCACCTGCACAAACCGCATCAGGCACTAAAGATATATAGCACCGTCCCTTTTCTTGTTATAGAAACATGTGAACCAGTTTTTGCAACCTCCACAAACACAATAATTTACCATGAAGATAAATTAAAATACAAATACTACCGAAAACACACTGATTTGCGGCCGCTCTCACTGAATACCAGCCGACTCGCCACCGAGCCGAGGCTGAGGCTCCCTGACGTGACGTAAAATGATGTTGAAAAATAAGCCTTTTTTACAAGCAGTCCAAGAAACTGCCACTTTGTCGTTTTAAAACATTTTAAATCCTGCATTAACTTTTCAAATGGTATTTTCATATAAGGTTATATATAAATTTAGATTTTTTTTTCTTTACCTGCAATATGCTCTTTAAGAATAGTAAGTAGTATTTTACATGTAGGTAAATCTAGCAAATAGCATGACCACTGTAGTCCAAATTCTGAATAAACGACTTATGAACAGGTTCTTTTTAGTGAATCACACACTTGATTCACTAAAAAGAACCTGTGCATCTGGAATCAGGGTAAAGATAATGACTCTTATTAGCCTCTTCACCAAGTGAAAATAGCAGTATTTTCTTTGCACTAAGTGTAAATAGTAGTTAAACGCTCTTTATATGTACAGTGCAAATAGTGGCAGATGCTATTTTCTCCTTCAGTGTATTGTAGTATTATTTAACAGTGTTCATTATAACAACATTTCAGTGTATGACTGTATATATTAAAATCATATAGATGTTGGTTTGTTAGGATTATCCCCAAAGCCCTCCTCTACACCTACCTAACCCTATCCATTAAACACTTAATCCCTTTTTATTTCCAATTTTCAAATCTTTTCTCAATTTTTATTTAAAATGACTGCCTCTTCGAGCTGATATGTGGCAATTCAAACTCAAAAGTTGATGTTCCAGTTATCAGCAGGATTTCTTTTGTGATTTTGTCTGGCTGGATTAGACAATAGTGGGCAGAGTTAGTGCAAATAGCCTCTGCCTACAAGGTGGGACACTCAAATAATATATATATTTTTTTTTTTTCTGTAAACCAACTTCACATTCCTTTACATTTTCACACTGAAGACAGTCTTACCCGTGGAGCAGTCGATTCCAAAGAATCCCTCATCGCAGATGCACAGTCCATCCACGCAGCGTCCATTACCTATGCAGTCATTCGGACAGGTCGCGACACTGCAGTCTTCTCCTGAGAATCCACTAAAGCACACACATTTGCCATCCACACAGTGGCCTTTATCTTTGCAGTCATTGGGGCACGTGAGCTGGCTGCAGTCATGGCCGGTGTAGCCTTCATAGCAAACGCAGCGTCCGTCAACACAGCGGCCATTATCGTTGCATTCATCAGGGCAGGATGAGATGGAGCAGTCTGGACCCTCCCAGCCTGGGTTACACTTACAACTGCAGGAGTCATGCTGGTACGTGCCATGCCCACTACAGCTGGTGTCCACACCTAGCACAGGAGAATACTCTTAACATACTGAGGATATGAAGTGATATAAATCAGAAGTGGAGAATGGAGCAGAGAGTAACAAAATAAGAGAGAATATTTAATGTATACGCTGATTTGCTACAATGAAATTGAATTTACTGAATTGCAATTGAAAGAAATACAGCAGGCAATATTATTCCGGGTAATTAAGTTATTTGACCTTGGTCCATAAATCTATGGCTGCATCCGAAATATCATCCTTCCTCCCAGAATTCATGGCTACTCATAGGACCCCTTTACATGCTCATTTCATGCGTTTTTAATAATCGGAAAATCATAGTCGCACTTCTTTTAATGAAGATATTGTGGTTTGAGCGTCTGCAACTTACTTAATGTTCTATTTAGGGCAGTTTGAGCTTTGGCTCACTGAAGAGATTCATATGTGGCGTTGCATGTTGCGGAAGCGCCGTCATATATAGCCTACAACATTGTGTTGTTGTTGGGGTTTTTTTTACATTTTGGGAGGAGTAAATTTTACCCATGTGGTTTCGACAACCAGATGCACTTGTCCAGCTTCATCTGGAATGCGGCCCAGACAGACCACCTCCTTGAGTGGTTTGAGCGATCGTATTTTAACCATCTCGAAAGCGTTTCGGAGGGCATTTACAACTGGTCTTTTAACGACCGAATAGCTATCTGATCAGAGAGAACGCATGAAGTGACTATAGACAGGCCCATAAAGAGAAGGGAAAAGGTACCCAGATGACCTACTTCTTCCGCTTGATTCTGAAGAGTGTGCACGTGATTCTGCTTGTGTGGTGAATGAAAGTGAAGCGACATAATTGGTTGGTCACATGATAATGACAACATGACGAATGTAGACGTCCAGATTATATTCATACTAACTAATGGAAAATCTATTAAGACTGTTCATTTGTGTGCTGTCTTCAAAATCTTTGATTGATACAAAGGTCTTGTATTTTTGTGATGTTGTTATTTTTATCTTGTGTGTGTGTGTGTGCATTCTAAATTGAAAATGACATACAGTACATCTCTACTATTATTTGTAGTATTATTCTAAATGCAAGGTGCCAGAGTGAAGTTCCTGAGCATTCTGGTCTAAATTGTAACTGATCATAGAGTTAGTCTATATTACAGTCACAGATGTATACTGTATGTAATTAGAAAGAAAGGCTGGGGTGTTGCATGTGATGAGGAACACATAACATAAGACAAATCATTTTGCACATCTTTCATTATGCACTAAAATTTTTTGCTATTTGCCATACATTTTAAGTCAATCCAAGTAGCTTGATCTTAAGTTTTTTTTTTTAAATCAGGGAATAATCTCCTAGGTTAGTATACTAATACCTGACCCTCCTTTGCAGCAGCCCTGAGCGCATTGGCCTTTTAGGTACGTGACCTCCTCCTCCAGGCCATTTACACGGTACAACAGGGCTTTGAAATCCTCAGAGTCAGCACATCCACAACCAGCCGACTGTAGCCGTATGTTGTGCTTGAAGACAATGTCATTCTCTCCATCTACTGTGACTAACTGTCCTTCTGAGGCCTGGTCCTGGGAAAGTTGTGCCACTTGAGAACTCTGCTTACAACCAGAGTCAATCCTGTAGACATGGCTGAATGTGACTTCTTTCTCTGCTGGAAGCACCTCCTCGGACAACACAAGCTGGGTCACCGTAAAGAGCGTCCCCAGAAGAAAGTAACCTCTCTTCAGCCGGTTGAATCTAACAATCATAGTTTCTAAAAGAAAGCAGAAAAGATGTGAACTCTTGGAGAATCTGATGGTGATTGTGTGGTTGAATTTACAAGCATTTCTTTCTCAAAATATCAAACTTTCCTTATGGTTTGCGGTCTCACCTTCCAGTAAGGAGCTTGATTTGCATACACACATGAAAATCAATGCTCAAGACATCACATTATGTTTAATGGAGCGAAATCTGTTTTACAAGGCCAGTGTTATAGATGTCTGATCCTACTGGGCAGACCTTATGTTTGCCAAGCACATTCCATCAAAACCATTAATTGCACATTCCACAACCACAAGGGCTTCTGGGAGCAGGGAACACTTTAAACTAAATGATGTAATCCCCATGACAATTATGTCATTCATATCTTTTAATACACCTCTGCAGAGTAGGAGGTTTTACAAATTAAGAGAAAAAAACGTGCTTCAAAAGAGCCACCAGGGACTTCCAGATTTGCTTTAAAACTAAAATATGAATTGAAATAACTTTCTTTTCCTGAGCACCAGCAAAAAGCAGGGCCCCAGCATACCTTCATGTAATTCATTAACAGTAAGTATGTGAATCGTGTGTGGTCCTGGGAATCTTGATGTGGAAAAAAGGCTTTTCTCTTTACATTTTACATTTTAGTACTAATCTATAAGTACATGTATACAGCAGATCCTCATAAATTACAGCATTCTTGCATAAATAAATCTGATATAAAACTATTTAAAAATTACATAATATAATTAATACATAAAAAATCTGTTTTTTTAAATGTGTAAAAAAAAATATTAGTTACATGCGTCTGATTGTTGTAGATAGACAGAATAGAACTTGAGAAAAAAAATCATAAATACCCATAGAAGTTGAGACATATCTAGCCATTATGCAATGCAAAGGCAAGGGTCCCTGTGAGCCTACAGGACCGTAAGTGACAGCCATCTACTCTGCTTTTACAGCTGACACTGCATAACCTGTGACGACAACCAATTAATATCTATATGCGCTTTTCTTTTATGGATTTGAAATATGTCCTATTATCAATCACAACACTGTATGTAGTAAACAGAAAATGACAAATGGCTTAAAAATTCAGCACCACGTTTTTGAATTTGTCATTTATGCATTTTACACCTAGTTTTGGAACATTAAGATAATCTGTGTAAATGTGGCGCTTAAATATAAACACGGATCAACACACATCAAAGTCCAGAAGCAGATGTGGAATGGCAGAAATGCTGAAATGAGAAGACAGAGCACTCCCTCGGGACCCAGATAGAAATGTGAACAGAAGCACAGAAAAATCTGGAACTCATGCCGTACGGATCAACCAACTGAGAAGAAAACAGTGCTGGCGGCTGTTGTTTTTGACAGATTCTCTTTTGCAGATGTGGACGGCTATTCCATTGCATTAGTCTGAGAAGACTTCAAACGACCATTTTGTGGTTATCAATTTCCAAATAATAACCTTAAAAAAACAAGTAAAGCAATATGAATCGTTCACTAAATACAAAATGACTTGTCCACCAGCCAATATATTCTTGTCAATGCAACCCAACTGTATGTGTCCAATAGTAGACCTCAATGCAAATAATAGTGACTTCAAAAACAACATCAATAGCACAAACAAAATGTCAGAGCAAAACAATTATAACAGTAACCACATAACAAATCAGCAATACAAGTTCATATAAAATAGTTTGTTACGGTCTGTTGAGCAATTTGCGACTATTTAGAGGAATAATTTTGGTTTAACATGTGTTTTTAGGTAGATTCAACGCCATCCACATCTGTGACTCATGGAACAAAGTATTTCACTGCATGATCCCTCCTAATTGATATATCAAAATAACAATATGCGACTCACATGGGTAATATTTAAACACTTAGCACTGAACTCAAACAGGCGGGAGAGCCTCTCCATCATCTAAAGGACTCCCTGGTGCTAATTAGATTGGGCACTGCAGTACTGAAGCATGGGGTGGTGAGGTCCATGACCGTCCAGCCGTAGCCCACATCACATCCCAGACACCACACACATGCTAGAGCTGCAAACCCCTTTGAGGGTCTCGTTTATTGCTTTCTGTCAGAGGCTTTTATTTCTTGCGCGCTTTTTCTTTTTGCTCTTTTATTTATCTTGGAGAGGACACATGGAAAAGCCTGCCAACTTTCTTCCACAGGGGATGTTTGAGTCTGCATGCACGTACATAAACACACTAAAGAAGATGCTCTACAGTAACTGAACCAGTAACTGAACACACGATAGCACTGGGAAAATCACTATATACTTTTTGCCCACATTTTGCATAATGCATGATTATATATGTACCCTATATATATAGCTCTGTTTCAGATGCAGAGGAACAGACAGTTACAACTAGAAAAATATATAGTAATAACAATAATGGTTATAATGATTCAAAAGATATGTCTTTTTTCATGCCTTTTTGTGTAGTGTATACCATTCAAGAGTCTCATTGAGTTTAAGTTAATTTCCAATTGGACACAGTAATGTTTGAAAATCTATTTTCTATACCCAGTGAACAATTCAGCAAGCCGTGCCCAATGAAATCCCTGCAACAGCAGTAGTGGAAAGGATGCTTAACAGAGCCTGGTTCAAGACATAGAAGAGATGCATGCAGCTAAGTGGCCGTTGGCTCTTTTCTGTTTGATCTCGAAACCAAGTCAAAACATAATCTTTCAATGCTATGACTGGGACTTATTCGTGGCTTTTAGAAGGGTAAAAGGCAAGTGCAAAGACCTACAAGCAATAAGGCAATAAGACTGTGAATGTGAACAGCATAAATCACATTCTTAGAGGGGAATAAATAAAGTGAGGTAGAAGCCGGGAAAACAGAGAACCAGACTGTGCTGTGCCATGCCCTCTCCTCTCCTGAGACGCATTAGGAAGAAGACAAAAACAGTCTGTTCCACAGCATCTGAAGCGGAGCCCCAGTTGCACCATTAGGAAGGAGATTCAGGGCTTACCAATGCATAGACAAAAGAGGTGGAGAGGTGAGGAGTGCAGACTGTGAACCGCAAACATGCAGCACTAGTGATTTTCCCCTTTGCTCTTCAGCTGATGAGAGCTGAAAGCAATTAAGCTTAAGACTAGGTACAGACTCATTTCCTCTCCTCAGTATGAACGACTGGGGAATGAAACCACAGCAGCTTTAGATGATCTTTCAGATGCCCAAAACTGATTTTGTTAGCCTGTAATGTGTAATGTGCGGGCAGCATAGTAAAACTCCAGTGGGCTGCGTGCAACATCTGCTGTTCATCTGATCTGGGCTTCTGATAATACCTGAAGCCAACACAGTAGCCTTTCGTCCTAATCTAGCAGACGAGGGGGATGTTGCTTAGATCTTGTGTAAAGGTGGGTTCCAAACAGGTTAATAACAACGCATATATGCTTCAGAAAAAAAATACAGATGGAACGAGCAGGAAACACAGCCTTTTATGACAACCATATTTTTTCTGTTATGGCAAGTAGGGAGGTTTCAAATAGCATACCAATACACATTGCAAAGTAATATCAAATATTTTGAAATAAAATAGTAATTTGTTTGGGAAAAATATCATTATTTATTACTATTAAAAAAAAGGTTTTAATTTACAAACCATGTTGCCAAGCACCTGACTTCAAACACATTTTTTCCACTATTAGGCATTGTCCATTGGGACACATTATCTTGTCAAGACTGGGACACTGTACAAGATTTATTTATCAACTGGTCATTTTAAGGCTTTTTTTTCATTGAGCACTATTTATTGAAATGAAGCTGTTTGTACTTTTTAACCATGAGATTATTGTGCCAAATGACAAAATATGAATCAATGTCAATGCTTTCAGTATATTTGACTAAAAAAGGATACATTTGGAAATGGTTCTATAACATTGACAATTAGCAATTACAAAAATAGAAAAGGAAATTTTAATCTGTTTTTAATCTGATCTGGCTATTAAATATAAATGACTTAACGTGATTCAGATATTTAAAACAAATGTTTTAACTTGAATAATACTAGGTCATGTAGATTTGATCATAAAGTACATTTGTCAAAACAGGTTTACAGTGTAGATTAAATATTCAAGAATTGGGAAATTCTTTTCAAATTAGAAGAACTACGAAGCAATTACTAATAAAATGTAAGGATTTCTTTAAAAATCACAGCTTGTTATCGACCCTTACAAACACCATAAGATAATTTGATGTCAATAAAATAGAAAAAGTGAGAAGTTCATGCACATGCAATAATGAAGCTGCAGATGCCTTACCCCAGAATACTCTCTGCCACAGTAATATAGAAACACCGACTGACGCCTATTACTGCAAGCACCTGTTTATAAACTCAGACTATAGGCATTCAAGGCCCTCCTGTCCAGCAATGTCCCGGGAAGTCCTTCAGCTCTCTGCCTTCAAACTGTTTAAATGTCCTCGTTGCAGCACTGAGCCAATGGCCAGCCTGGGTGTGGCTACCTCCAAAACTTAAACATAGAGGACAGAACTGAATGAGGGAGGTAATGTTGAACATTGTCTGGAACGTATTTCATTAAATATAAAATTTGCAAGTGTGCTCCATGCATAGCCTACCACCATCCCTCGCAGGTAAATTTTAGAGTGTTTTTTATTTCAGAGCTTTTCTTACAGTAGCAGTGCTAATCAATCTTTTTCCAGGAATTGTGATATATAGATTCTGACAGGCATTTGTAGAGCCAAATCCAATTTTTTTTTTCCATTTGCGCACAAATTTTTTCCTCTTCCAAAAGTTGTATAACTTTACAAATGGAAATTGATTCCTAATCTTATCTAAACTCCACACATATTTTTCTGTCAGCCTATAATCAAGATTTTATGTGGAACGGAACAGCAATTATCAGAAGTCATCAGTAGTAAGTTGTTTGACTATAATTTCCCAGACATCTGTTGAACTCACGGTGTTGTGTTACACTGAGTGAGGAGAAATGCTTGGGCTTAAACGGCGAGCAGGCCAGGTGTAATGTTTATTAAAGAGAAGCAGCGGTCCGACTTTTTACATAATGTAGTCGTATATTATTCCTCAGACAGTTCCTCATGGAGCACTTTCAACTGATGTTGTCATTGAACAAAGTCACAATTATATGCCTTAAAATATTCCCTTTAGTCCTGCAGCAGATATACTCAATGTTTAATTTGTTAAGGGCTAAACATAGAGCCTGAACACTATAAAAAAAATCTTTGGCACACCTGATTGTCTCCATAAATATTTGGATACTTTTACATGTGGTTGGAATATGTAGGGAATAAGAACAAGGAGAAAGTGTTCTGTAGTCAGGAAATGTCCAGATGCATGCTGAAAAAAAGTCATGCTAGTTGCAGTACCTCTCACTCAGCAGTGATTCTCTGAGTAAGTGATTGTGTCCGTGTCTATGTCTTTAATTACCCTTGAAAAACAGTAAACACTCTTACTACTGGTTTTTAATTAGGCCCTAGATGTCATTTTGCTTTTTGGGTGAATGATTTACAGACTGCAGTCATTTGAATAAAAAGGGCAGACTTAAGTTATGAATTAAATCTGTATTTAGTCATGTATAACAATACACAAAATCTATGTACCCCTTTTTGTAATATTTCATAAAAAAAAATCATATTTAGCTTTTTTTGATTGATTGATGATTAGATTTGAAGGGATAGTTATGAAAAATAATAAATACTGTCATTCTGTACTGTCGTTGTAATAGTCTTTTAAAATCAAATCTGTTTTAAAAAGACACAAAGGTATAAGTGAATGATCCGTTTTAATTTTTAGTTTTAGAAAACTATTGTAACTTTAAATGGGTCATGAACTGGCTTTTTGAAGTTTATTATATTGTTTTCTGAGGTCAACTTATGATGTTCTCTTGTTTTTTGCATTCAAGAACATCAAAATGAATAAGTATACTAGGCTATTTTCTACCCTTTTGAGCCAAGCTGAAAAACGTCCTCGGTTTTTATGGACGTCTCGCACTGAACACTTGGAAGTAAAACGCCCACTGCTGTAAGTGGACAGTTTTGCATTTTAATGAGTTTCAACTCACTGGTGTACGTGGGGGAAATTGTTTTAAAAAACGTCCAATGTTGTAAAATGGCAACCGGAATGATTCGCCCATACATGTTCGACCCAGAGTCCGTGTGTTGCACCATTCCTGTCGGATCCAATATAGATGCCACAGCACCGTTCTTTAATCTTAATTGGTCTGCAAATCCAGTTTACAAAACAATCCTCAGTGAAATGAAGCGAACAGGACGATGTTTTACCCTCATTAACTGGAACATCATTAAAAATAAAGAACCACACATTCCTTTTGGAATCCAGAGGAAGATATGCAGCGTCTTCTTCCACAACAGGCACTCCACAATATTTTGTATTGCTCGGTAGTTCGGTTTGTCATCACGAGGTAGGCATCTATGTTATTTAGCTATGCGTGTAATGCGCGAATCGGTGGGCAGGGCTAAACCGGCCGTGGTGGAGTAGGCGTTGATCTTCTCCTGCGGGGGTGGCGTTTTATCCTCTTTGACGTCATAGTTCCCCACTTTGAAAAACGAGTCGTTTGCTGAGCCTGGTGTCAACAAAAGCTTTTATTGGAATAACAAGGATGTTCTGAAACTTACAGGATATCTTATAATATGATGACAAGATGTCAAAAGCTCAAGGAAAATTTGATTTCTCAGTTCATCACCCCTTTAAATAAACAAAACAACAACAACAACAAACAAGCAAAGTTAGTGGCAAAATATTTCGTGGTCTTATACTGTAAGTGTCTTAATCATTTTAATCACAAATCTCTGGTCAAGTAATTAGCAAGTAAAATCTGGACCAAAACATGAGCCTGATGGACTTGTTCTTGAGTCACTTCTTGGTTGTCTTTGAAACTTGAAGAGGAGCATTGTCTTGTTGAAAAATTACATTTGATCCTTCCTCTTTAGATAACAACTTTTCATTGATGGAAAGCAAGCCATTCTGCAATATTCTCCTGTACTTCAAAGCATTAAATGACATTTCACAGAGAAGTATAGCTCCCCATACCAGCAGCTAAAAAGGCTCCCCACACACAATCATAGCCCTTCCTCCATGCTTCACTGTGAAGATGCATTTATTATTATATGTATATTACTAGATTCAACAAGACACCGCTCTGAAGCATCACCATGTTTTCACATGTTTTTCATGTCATCACCGAGTTTCACTGTTGTGATTCATCACTCCACACACACAACTTCCCGTATTCTGCAAAAGAAATGTTTTAAGTGCATTTGCTTAAATTTTGCTATAGTTTGACCAATAATGTGTGGTTAACACAAAAGCTTTTAATGCATGTATACTGGCTAAATATTTTCTAAATAAAAGTATTGCACCCTTGCTAAATAAAAGTATTCATTTATTCATTGTTTTTTTTTTTTAATTACTGACCAAATAAATAAATATATATATATATATATATATATATATATATATATATTAATGGCTACATTGGCTATATTATTTTACCACATACATACCAATGAACTATGCATTTGAATGATACGTGTTTAAGTCAAGCTCTGGGTACCACATGATTTACATGTTCCAGAGAGCTCTAAATCATTTACCCTTTGAGCGATACACATGTTTGAGGTCCCCCCTGACATCCTAACATATATCAAACCAGTTCCCTTTTGAATTATTGAATTATGTTCCAGTTTTTCAAAGTATTGAGATGAGACCCACAAACGAAATATGACTTTCATCTGTCACTCATTTTTCACCATTGGCCCTCTCTCTCTGTGTGTATTTGAGAAGAGGATCTGTGTGATTAATGTGTTTGGCCACCAGTGTTGTGTGTACAAGAATGCAGCAGAAATGTGGCGTGGCGTGAAGCAGACTTGGGGCTTTTACCATGCTTTTTATGAGGCAGAGGCTCAGCAAGAGTTTGTGCTTAAAGGAAACAGGGATATTTTTCAATAAAGACTTGATATTCGCAGAATAAAAAAAATGGTGGGGGGAGGAAAAAATGTTGATTGCTATGCTGGAGGTTTATGATGATCACAATTAGGCAATAATCTGTAGCTATAAAAACATAAACACAATTTATAAGCAGACTACACGTTAGACAAACTCAGGAGTGTACATTTTGTCCCACAACCCATCTCTCTTCTGTTGAAAACGAAACTTAATACAGCGTATTTGTTTGAAGTCTACTAAAAAGGTGCAGAGACTTGAGGCTACAACGACAAGCTGCAAGGAAATCTATCAAAGAAAACAAAATCTCTGTACTTAAACATATTTAGATGGAATGCTTCTGGGTTTTATTAGACTGGTTTTGAAGGTCAACCCCACCATAAGAGAACTAAGAGGGGGAAAAGACATTTAAATTAAAGCCATAAGGCCTCAAGCTCTGCAAATAAACCTTCTACCAACTTATACGTGTGAGACACATATCCAATATTCTATATCACACTGTCAACAGCAGGGGATCCATTCATCTATCTGCCTGTCTCCAAAGCGGGGAACATAACAAATCTTTTCAAAGCTATGGCAGGAAGCTCCAAGGAACCGACTGGGATGTGCTCCTATATTGTTGTGCAATTCTTTACTCACTGAACCGAGACATCGTTAGCATTAACGATGGGAGAAAATGTGATCCTACTAATAACGATTTGCTCTTCAAAAGTTGACCGATGGCCTTAATCACACAACACACTTAAGAATGATTGTTGTTGTAACTTAAAGCAGGAATATGTATGGCAATAAACATACTAGCATCCAGGTGACCTTTAAGTTCAGCACAAAAGGCATTCTTCACATTCATGCCATCTCACTGAATCAGTGAGATGGCATGAATGCCTTTTTTTATTGCCTTTTTTTTTTATCAGACCTATGTGAGGCGGATTTATTTTAACTCCATTGCAGGACTCTTTGGGACAGCATGTTCCCAACCTGAAAACTGTAAAAGAGCTTCATTGCTCTTTTGACAGCCTTTCACTTCCTAAAATGTATACAGATGTAATGTACTGTAAATGCAAGACAAAAATGCAAAATCAATCAATCAGTAAGTATGTCAATAAAGACTTTAAAAGTAGACACCATATAATAAGAGAATCAGAATTTTTTGTACAATTAGTAAGTTAACCTTAATATCACCATATTCTTTACCCTTTGACAATGCATCCATTATAGTTGATTGAGAAGTAGTTTGACAGACCAAAAATAACTTCAATGCACCATATCTTTTGGAAAGTTGAGCTGAGCTCAGAGCAGCTAAACAATAGAAAGGTTTAAAGGCACAGTATGCAAGTTCCCACAAAGGCAGCTTATCCAAAAAGGATATACAACGACAGTAAAGGACGAGAGGGAAACAGGATTTTTTATGGTGCTGTTTTTATTATGCTTAAATGTGGCAGTCGG